ACATGAGAATGTGCTTATGAAGGCCCGCGTACGAGAGCTTGAAGAGCAACTAGCAGAGGTAACAAAGCGCCGAGGGCGTAAAAGAAAGCGGATTCAGACAGGCGGGACACTAGAATTTGGTGCAGGAGCATCGCAGGCAGCTGAAAGTGCTTCTACTAGTCGTATAATATCAAAGAAAGCGCGTGGTGGGGGTAGTCAAGAAAAGGCCCAGCCAGGTCAACGGCACTGTGGAATCTGTGGGAGAGTGGGCCATAACGCCCGTACGTGCCAAAAAGATGTAGAAGAAGATTCTATGTTAGATGCAAGTGAGTCGTACGAAGCATCTATAGCTAGTGTAGAGTAATTCAAGTTTTCATATGTGATGTTCGCGATGCCAAGAAAAAGTGGCACACTCGGTGGGGTGGCACTCTCGGTGGTGGAATACGTTATATATATTTATGATTATATGCAGGGTGAGACATAAAATCGAAAGAGGCAAAAAAAAGCATACAATTGGGCGCAGCAAACGTCAATACCGCAATATTTTTTGTTCTCATTCGGTCCCATCATGTTTACTTGTTGGTGGGGTTGACGGTTATACAAAGACGGCGAGTCATGGTTGGGCAGGTCTTCACCGGAGACGAAGTGCGGTCAATAACGGTAAGTGGTATATGGGCTATATTTGTTCATTGTTATTGTTATTGTTCATGTTGCAAGGAAAGAAGAAGAACAACAAGAAGAAGAAGAACAAGCTTCCAAGACATGTTACGCGCGTCGCGGCGCTTTGTGTTTCTTTGCTTCGGCGCGCTTCCGTTGGAGCTGAAAGCTTTTACCGCCGTGCTACAGGCTGTACCTGAAGTTGTCTTTTGTTGCTTTTCCGGGTATAAGTCGCCGTTATTGCTGTTGCTGGTCGGTGTTGTTGCGTGCCAAGGCTGTGTCAGTGTGTGAACCATGTTGCATCCATGCATGCACAAAGTGAAGCAGGGGAAAAGCAAAAATGCTCAGGCTTGGCGCCATGTGCATGATGTTCCTCAGCCCTCCGATGCCAATGTTAGTGTGCGTGGAAATGCTCAGGCGATGCTGTAAATCGTAGAAATATGTGCATGTCGCTGCTACGCTATTGTATGCAAGTCCGGCGGGATTTCGGTCGAAAGGTAGCTGGTTTGTATACGACTCATTACTCGCTTTTCTGCGCGACACATGGACTTGGCTTGCAGGAGATGCCCATGCGGATTTTCAATGTAACGGTTTGAGCATGCCATTTCTGCGCCAGCCACAGTGAAAGACATGACATGGAGAAATTGGGCTGACGCGTACTGTGGTCGCTAGTGTTAGAGAATGCACAAGACTCGAGTCCCATGACTTCTCATCAGATGCTTATCAGAGATCCTGGTCTTTCTGTAATATGCGCTGGGTTCGTTGTCAGTATACGGGTAAGGCGCGCTTGTTACAACGTTGTACATGGCCGGCCCTTCTCTTCAAAGTGGCCGAGAGCAAGGAACATTGTGCTGCAAGAAATGCGATCATCAGATGTTTTTCAGATCCGGAAGCCCTTCGCTATCGTCTTGTCTCCATGTCTATCAGCGATTCCGGTGGAAGATGCCCTATTCGTAAAAGTCGAAGACGCAGTGTAGCCGAATGACAATGGTCCACGTGAGCCATGATCTATCTCGGCCAATCGGATCAAGTCATTGTACAAATCGTCCAGTTTGTAAGCATCAGGTTGCTCGCTTCGAGGTAAGTGCAGCGAGGGTCGTGATGACTATACCCGTTACAACGTGCGAGCAGGCGGAAGCCGTTTACGGGCCGTCGCCTTATCGAGCGGGTCGTCGGACAGAGCGCGACGAACCGTCGGATGTTTATCGAGGGCTGCTGGTGAACAGCGGGTATCGTCGCTACATGTTCCACACCCAGATCGCAGGCAGGTCAATCCGCTCCGGGGCTTCGGGCGATTCGATCACGGACGCCTGATGTAGTCCTCGTGAGCACATCTTGACAATGCATCGACCAGGCCAAGAAACATGAGGAGGCGACATTGGCATCTTGAGCTGTCTAGCGTATGTGGGGATTGAGCTGACGCAGCTGCAAATACTCTTTATCGATGGTACTGTTGGGAAAAAAGGGTTGGCAGTTAGCGTATGTGGGGTTGACCGCATGGTTGAGACGACGTGGTCGCGTGTCCAATTATGTAAAAGTGATCCAGAGACGGAAGTGTGCGACTCGTTTCTGGTGGCGCTGCTTGTTTTGAGTTTCTGGTGGTGAAGTGGACGTTGTGGTGTAGTGCGAGGATGCCGCGATTTGTGGGCCCTGGGACCCTGGGCTCTGAGGGCTAGTTCAGTAAATTGCAAGTATGACATGGCGGATTGATCATATCGAGACACCCACTGCTCGGTATTCCCGGACTCTGTGTGTGGTCTGCTGGAGGCTTGCTACCGACCCACCCAGATAAGCAAGGAGAGATGGCGGTCACTCGCTGCGTGGTGCAGCAGATTCATGGCAGACAAGATGATCATCCGTGTGCCCACGGATGGGCTCCGTAGAGCCGCTGGGTACCATTTTGCCAAGCAGGATTTGCAACAAAAAGAGAAAATGCTTGGTTGATCCGATCCAATGCGGCGTATGATGTTCAGCAGTGCAACTAGGACGGAGGAGAGAATTGGCGCCAAGACGCTGCTGCTGCAGGCCGAAAAGCATAATTAAAGGTTGGCTGTGAATGTCCATGAAGTTGCCACGGGCGCAGAAACATGGTGTGTCCACGTGGTATTGGGTCGGGTCGTCTTTTCAGCACCGACTTGTCAGAGAGCCGCATGCGTCTGTTGCCGGGGGTGCATGGCGCTGTCGGCAGCACGGGCAGCAGCTGCAGTCCACGTCGAGCAGATAGTCTTGATTTGCCAACACGGCAGAACATGGCCCGTCTGGGCTAGCTGAGCGTAAGATAGCCATGAGCATGGAATTGCAGGCGCTGGCAGTCGACTGCGTGGCGTCGTGAGCGTTCTCTGGCGCGATATGGGCCGTGTTCTGACAGCAGAGGCGTGTAGGCATTGCTGCCCGCGTGCCACTCGTGTGGAGCTAGCTGGATGCGACGTCCCGAACACTCGACCGGGAGCACGGAGGAGGCGTTTGCAGCAGACGGGGGAGGTGAAAAGGCGCCGTGGGTTCTGGTGGTAGTAGAGCAGACGTCGCAGGGGCAGACCGGGGTGGTGGAATGCGGACGAATGGGCGCGCCGGCTGTGGCATTGGCGTGCCAAGGCTCCTCGACCTCAGCCGCCTCGATGCTCTTGATGGGCGTTGTTCTCTGCCCATAGTCCAGGCCTATACCGTATCCTTGGCTTCCAGATGGCTCCGGAAGAGATCGACTAGCCCGCTATCAACCCTGCATACACCCCCCGGCAGCCTTGTTGTGTCAACGTCGACGTCGGTCGGTCCATGAGGCTGCTCGATGCGCGCCGGGGCGGACAGGAAGACACGCCCACACGCTGCCATTCAGATACGCTCCAAGGTAAATATTCCGGGAAGCTCGTCCATGCAGTCGAAGAAGCAGTGCCAGGGCAGGGTGTGGCGGTGCGGGAGACACGATGCCTTGGCGCCGCCAGAGGTGTGGGTGTATGAACAGACACAACGGGGCTCTCGGCGCGGATGAGACGTCAATCGTGATGGTGGGAGCAGGGCGTCGTCGCCCACGGAATGGTGCTTCTTCTGGTCGGGCCTATTTGGCGCCAGAGCGGCTGGCGGTGTGGTGACAGTAGGCTCGAGGGCTCCAACGGTGACTTTGCCTGTCCCAAAGCGGCCTAGCCGGTTTTACGTGGATTGCGTCGGATTGCGTGACCACTGGAGGTCGTCACCCACCTTTTCGTCCACTGCGTCAAGCCCGCGTCTTCCCCACATCCACCGCGCTCCCCGACGTCTAGTCCGTCGCGTGGCGCCGCTGGGCTTGTCTATAAAGATCCCTTCTCTGCCCTCACTCGGACCGAAATCCACTACACTTGGCCAGGACACCGCGCCGCGTGCCTGCCTATTCATCCAATTGCTCGCCTCCACACCCAACCCAAGAGACCAGTCCTTCTGTAACCAGCCTCGCTGCAGCACAATGGCGCCTAGTGTGTTGCTGGACCAGGAGTCGCCTCCCCCTTCTTACATCCATCCTGCCAAGCAGACACTCAAGGAGGCCCAGGCTCCAAGTGACGATGGCCTTTCCTTCACATCTGACTCTTCGATCAACGCCAATGGTAACAGTAGCATCAATGGTTCCAATGGATTCCCAGTCGACAACGGCTTGGCGGCTGGCCAGCCAGGCGGAGACTTCATCACTGTCCAAACTCTTCGCCAGCAGTCCGAAAACTATGCATCCCAGACGCGCAGCAGCGACAATGCGAAGAGCCCAAACATTCTGTACATTATGGCCGACCAGATGGCCGCTCCCATGCTAAAGTTCAACGACCCTGAGTCAGTTATCAAGACACCTCACCTTGACGAACTCGCCCGCACCGGTGTCAACTTTGCCAGCGCCTACTGCAATTCGCCTCTCTGTGCTCCGTCTAGGTTCACCATGTGCAGCGGCCAGCTGCCTTCGAAAATTGGGGGATACGACAATGCTTCGATCCTGGGTCCTGAAGCCCCCACATACGCCCACTACCTGCGCCGACAGGGCTACGAGACTGCACTGGCCGGAAAGATGCATTTTATTGGCCCTGACCAACTCCATGGCTTTGAACACAGACTCACCTCGGACATCTACCCGGGAGACTTGGGATGGTCGGTCAACTGGGACAAGCCAGAGGAGCGCCAGGAGTGGTACCACAACATGTCCTCCGTCATGCAGGCTGGCCCATGCGTGCGCTCCAACCAACTCGACTATGACGAGGATGTCATGCACAAAGTAAGCTCGTCCTATGTTGTAGCCCGGTAGTTTTGCTAACATTCAAGCCCAGGCCCAACAATACCTCTATGACTACGTCCGATCAGACCCCGCTACCCGTCGGCCATTCGCTTTGACCATCTCTCTGACCCACCCCCATGATCCCTACACGATGATCCAGGAATACTGGGACAGGTACGAGGGCGTTGATATCCCTCTGCCCAAGGTTGAGATTGCCCAAGCGGACCAAGACACGCACTCGCAGCGACTCCTCAAGACAATCGACTTGTGGGACAACCCCGTCCCAGACGAGGCCAAGATCCGTGCCCGCCGCGCATACTTTGCTGCCTGCAGCTTCGTCGACGACCAGGTTGGTAAGCTGGTCAAGCTTTTGAAAAACTGCAAGCTAGACCAGAACACCATTATTGTCTTCTCTGGCGACCACGGTGACATGCTTGGCGAGCGGAGCCTGTGGTACAAGATGAGCTGGTACGAGAACAGCGCCAGAGTGCCCATGATCATCAACGGTCCCAACTTCGCCCCCAAGCAGGTCAAGGAGTCTGTGTCGACAATGGACTTGCTGCCGACGTTTGTTGATCTGGCTGGAGGCCAAGTTGATGAGCGCCTGCCGCTCGATGGTAGCAGCCTTCACGAGTACCTTGTCTCGGACAAGCCAGGCAAGGACGAAGTGTTTGGCGAGTACATGGGCGAAGGAACCATTACTCCGACGTACATGATTCGGCGCCATCAGTGGAAGTTTACCTTTTCTCTGGCAGATGGGTCGCAACTCTATAATCTCGCCGAAGACCCGCAAGAGCTGTACGATCTGGCCAAGTCAAAGGACCCTCAGCACCTGAAGGTTCTGGCCAAATTCGAGCACGAGGCGCGTGAGAAGTGGGACTTTACCAAGATCCACAACGACGTCCTCCGCAGCCAGCGCATGCGCCAGCTTGCTTGCAGTGCGCTGAAGATTGGCCGCAAGGAGTCGTGGGACTACCAGCCGCCATCGTACGACAGGGATCGATTCATCCGGTCTCACATTCCCCTCGACGAGCTTGAACGCCGTGCCCGTTTCCCCATTGTGGACTACCTGGGCCGTGAGAAGTCTGCTGCAGCAACGCACCATGGCGTTGCGGGTGCAGCTGGCGAGTAAGCAAGCGAGCTTTGAGTGACGAATTTCTTTTTCCTTATCCTCCGTGTCTTCCAGGGCTAATGCGCGGGGGTTTCTTTTTTCCTACTCGGCGCTGCGCGAGAGCGAGTTTCCTTCCGTCTTGCCATTGAGCGATTGCGGGCGTTATGGGTTTATGAGAGCAGCGATGACCAGGACGGGACATTGTAGATTCAGCATAATGAAAGTGAGGGGGCGGCGACTGGCGTTGGGCGCAGTGTAGTGTAATGAGCACGAGGGCGAAGATATGAGGGGATGCACAGGCCAATAGCAGCTTAGTTATTATCAAGTAAGTAGCCGAATATGGACAGCTCATGCCTTCAACGCCACGTGCCGAATGCGTGTGCAACGTGGATTGCAATGTCAGGTCAGAATAGCGGTCAGGGCCAGCTGTTTACGGCGAGGTGCTGCGCGTAGAGGCACAAAGAGGATAGTCGGGAGCATGGGGGGCATGGGGGAGCATTGAGGGGGAAGTTAGATTTGCTCATGCAAGCGGAGCCGTCAAAGTGGGACCAGCGATTGTCGCCCGCACGTGAGGTGGCGTTCGCCTCCACCAGGTGATTGACCGACGGCGGCAAGTGCCAACGACCTTGTCCCACGCCCGCAACCGGTGCAACAAGCACACTCGCAGCTACATACACGCTCAAGTTGGCCGCCCATCCCCTTCCTCCTGTCGCCCCCGCATCCGCCCTTGGTCCTCACGACTTTGCTCGCGCAATCATGTCTACCGCCGCCCGCCGCCGCTTGATGCGCGACTTCAAGGTGCGCAGCAGCTACTCCGCCGAGCCACGACGAGCTCGCCATGCCCGCCCCCTAGACGTCGAGCTGACAGAGTGTAACAGCGCATGCAGACGGACCCCCCAGCTGGTGTATCAGCCTCTCCCGTTGCTGACAATGTCATGACCTGGTACGTCTCACTGCAGCTACCGACCACACGACATCCCGATCCGCTGCCCTACGCCGTTGTTCCCTTGTATCCTGTGCCGTCCCAGCGACAGCCTCCGTCCTGTGCTCCTGAGACGCTCCTCGGCTGACCGGCGAGCAGGAATGCAGTCATAATAGGCCCAGCCGATACGCCCTTTGAAGATGGGACGTTCCGCCTTGTGATGCACTTTGAAGAAGCGTACCCCAACAAGCCGCCGGGCGTCAAGTTCATTAGCCAAATGTTCCATCCCAACGTATACGGCACGGGAGAGCTGTGCTTGGATATCCTGCAGAACCGATGGTCGCCCACGTACGATGTCGCCGCCATCCTGACGAGCATTCAAAGGCAGGTTGCCACTGCACTTGGCAGCGTCTGAGCACGAGTACTGACCAGAGACACAGTCTGCTCAACGACCCCAACACATCGTCGCCCGCCAACGTCGAAGCGTCGAATCTCTACAAGGAGAACCGCAAGGAATACACCAAGCGCGTCCGCGAGACGGTGGAGAAGAGCTGGGAAGACTAGGCTGGCAGCTTGAGAGACGAATTTTGACGACATGATGGCATCGTATGGAGTTATGAATTTACAAGGGCTATGGTACATGTATTAGACTGGCAGTTCAGGGGCTTTTGCCCGACATCTGTTCCAGCGCGGCGTATGGTCTGCTTTCTCGTTGGTTTGGGGGCGACATATCTAGGTAGTCAACTCAAGGACGCGCTTTTTACTTTTCTCTGCCTGACGACCTTGGATGCATGCGGCGTGGTGTAGTGTTGTGTCGTGGCTGAGGCGGCCCTGCATTAGCAGCGCAACAGAGCACTAGCCACGCCCACACGGCGGCGAGGCTGGGGGCGAGGCACGTCGCCTGGTAGACAGACATGTAGTGCATGTCATCATGTCGCGTAGGAGCAGAGGCATGTGGCCCGCGACGTGTGCTATGACCAGTCGAGAGGCAGCGGGACCTGCGTCAGGGCGGTTGGCTGCGGGGGGGAATTGCAGGCCCTGGCCGCAGCAACTCAGGCCGAAGCCTGCAGCACCTCGACAAAGCCCAACAACATCAACATTAGCATTAGCACCCCAACATCACCACCACCAAGGCCCCGTCCTGCTCGCGCCCACGCACATACGCAACACCCCCCTTTCCCGCCATACACACACACACATTGCCGCCCCGTGGCGCCAACGCCACTAGCCCGGGATCCCTTGCCCCGCCAGCAGGAACAACTTACTGCCGTTTCATCGACTCCCCCTAACCAACCAGAGCGGGGGGCTGTAATTACCCACCTCCACGCGCCGAGACAGTGTGAGACGTGACGGTGCCACAACACGACTGCTCGTCGGGTCCGCACTCTCCTTCTCTTACACAAACCTGCCGCTGAGCCTGAGCGGAGCAGACTGAGCGAGGCCGCTGGGCCGCAGCGCGATCGTAGCCAGCAATCATGTCGTGAGTAGCTGCTCCACCGACTCTTTGGAGGAGGGGCGAGCCATGGCTAACAAATCCACCCCAGGGGCTCCAACAGTATCAAAGGTGCGCCGCCGCCCCCGCCAAAGCCCTCTGCTCGAGGCTGTGTCCAAGTGTGCGTATTTGCTGACGGTGCGACGCTGCAGTGGTGGCGCGGTTCCGCCCGCAGAACAAGATCGAGATAGCAAGCGGTGGAGAGCCCATTGTCGAGTTTAATTCCGATGACACATGTACGATCCAGGTATGCCACAACGTCGCTCGGCGGCATCCCCAGAGCCTGCTCGCTCGGCACCTTTTGCTGACCGCCATGTGCACAGTCGAAAGAGGCCTCCGGGTCCTTTACCTTTGACCGTGTCTTCGACATGTCGTCGCGCCAGGAGGATGTCTTCAACTACTCCATCCGCCCCACCGTCGACGATATCCTCAACGGCTACAATGGTACCGTCTTTGCATATGGCCAAACGGGTGCCGGAAAGTCTTACACCATGATGGGCAGCGACATGGACGACGAGGTCGGCAAGGGAGTCATCCCCCGCATCATCCAGCAGATCTTTGCAAGCATCCTGGCCTCGCCGAGCAATATTGAGTATACCGTCCGCGTGAGCTACATGGAAATCTACATGGAGCGCATCCGAGATTTGCTCGTCCCGCAAAACGACAACCTGCCGGTGCACGAGGAGAAAAACAGAGGAGTCTACGTCAAGGGCCTCCTCGAGGTGTACGTCTCGAGCGAGGAGGAGGTCTACGAGGTCTTGAGAAGAGGTGGATCCGCACGAGCCGTCTCTGCAACAAACATGAACCAAGAGTCTTCGCGATCGCACTCCATCTTCGTCGTAACCGTGAACCAGAAGAACGTCGAGACCGGATCCCTGAAGAGCGGACAGCTGTTCTTGGTCGATCTGGCAGGTTCCGAAAAGGTTGGCAAGACTGGAGCGAGCGGACAGACGCTAGAAGAGGCCAAGAAAATCAACAAGAGTTTGAGTGCCCTGGGTATGGTCATCAACTGCTTGACGGACAGCAAGGCGCAGCACGTCCCGTACCGAGACTCCAAACTCACGCGTATCCTTCAGGAGTCGCTAGGTGGTAACTCACGGACAACCCTCATCATCAACTGTTCGCCAAGTAGCTACAACGATGTCGAAACCGTCGGTACTCTCCGCTTTGGTATGCGAGCTAAAACGATCAAGAACAAGGCCAAGGTCAACGCTGAGCTGAGTCCTGCCGAGCTCAAGGCTATGCTCAAGAAGGTACAAGGCCAAGTCACGACGTTTGAGAATTACATTGGTCAGCTTGAGAGTGAAGTGACTCTGTGGCGCGGAGGAGAGACGGTGCCGAAAGAGAAGTGGATACAGCCGCTAGAGACTCCCACCTCTACCCACAGAAAGACTGCCTCAACAGCACGACCCGCCACGCCATCAAGAGTTGAGTCGACGAGAAACTCTGAAACACCACGCCCGGATTCGCGGCTGGATCTCGACCGCGCAGGCACGCCAAGCATACCACTAGACAAGGACGAAAAGGACGACTTCTTGAGAAGAGAAAATGAGCTGCAAGACCAAGTCGCCGAGAAGGAATCGCAACTTGCCAAGGCCGAAGACCAGCTCAAGACTGTCAAAGAAGAGCTCCAGTACTACAAGGAACGAGATTCCAAGACCAACAAAGACAACGAGCGCATCACCATTGAGCTCAACGAGATGAAGATGCAAGTCGAGAAGATCCAATTCGAGGGCAAGGAGGCGCAGATCACCATGGACGGACTGAAGGAGGCCAACGCGGAGCTCACTGCCGAGTTGGACGATGTCAAGCAACAGCTCCTAGATGCCAAGATGAATGCAAAGGAAACGTCTGCTGCCATGGACGAGAAGAAGAGGAAGAAGGCCGAAGCCATGGCGCAGATGATGGCTGGATTCGACCTTGGTGGTGAGGTGTTCAGCGATAACGAGCGCACCATCCGCAAGATTATCGAACAGCTCGACCAACTCTACGAGATGAGCTCAGCGGGCGAGGCGATTGCACCAGACGCCATTCAAGACTTGCGCGAGAAGATTGTCGAGACGCAAGGCATTGTGCGACAAGCAGAACTTTCCCTCACGGCACGCAGTGAGGAAGACAGTACACATGCCAAGCGCCGCGAGGCACTCGAGGCACGACTCGACAGTCTTCAGGCTCAATACGAGGAGCTGCTCGAGAGCAACCTCTCAGAGCAAGACAAGGAGGAGGTCAAGGCCCGACTTGCTGAGGCCTACTCGGCTCGCCAAGAGGGCAACCTCGAGCTCGTCGAGAGCCTCAAGAAGGAGAATGCACGACTCATCGAAGAGACGCAGAAGCTCAGGATTGAGAACGAGAGCCTCCAGCAGCGCATCAAGAGTGGTGCGATTGCCAACGGCGTTGCCAACGGCATCAATGGCAAGACTGTGCAGCAGCAAATTGCCGAGTTTGACAACATGAAGAAGAGCCTCATGCGTGATCTTCAGAACCGATGCGAACGGGTAAGTGTATTGATGGTGCGCCGAGAAACAGCATGCTAACCTTGCCAGGTTGTCGAGCTTGAGATTTCGTTGGATGAGACCCGCGAGCAGTATAACAATGTGCTCCGCACCTCGAACAACCGCGCCCAGCAGAAGAAGATGATGTTCCTCGAGCGCAACCTTGAACAGCTCACTGTTGTTCAGCGCCAGCTCGTCGAGCAGAACAGCTCCCTGAAGAAGGAAGTTGCCATTGCAGAGCGCAAACTCATTGCCCGCAACGAGCGGATACAGTCTCTGGAGAGTCTGCTGCAAGACTCGCAAGAGAAGCTTACCGCAGCCAACCACCGGTATGTTGAGCAAACCTTGTTGCAACGACATGTGCTAACCCCGTACAGCTTCGAAGCTCAACTCACAGCCGTCAAGGAGCGCCTCGAGGCCGCCAAAGCCGGCTCAACCCGTGGTCTTGGTTCGCCCGCCGGCGGTGCTTCGTACGCTGGCTTCGGTGGCGTTGGTTCCCGTATCGCCAAGCCCCTCCGCGGCGGCGGCGGTGCTGCCGCAGACGGACCTGTGCTTCCCGTCATTGGTAACCTTCAGAAGCAGGACAATGATGGCGAGTCGAACAAGGGTAAGAGGACAAGCTGGTTCTTCAACCAGCGGTAGACTCGCCAGTCATGCTCGTCGACGACTGATTGATTGCAAAAGGACTTGGGATACAAAGACTTTCAGGGTATGGGCCGGAGGTGTTTTGGGTGTTTCAACGTTCTCCATTACTTTAGCATCAGGACGGAAACTGGCTGACATGGGTGAGACGGGAAAAGGGGGTTGGAGGGCCAGGCTATGGGTGCAGACGGCAAGTGGGCGCGGCCCTTGGAATGTTTATGCAACTTGAACGAGGGAACGATGCGACAAGGGAGAAAGAGAGCAATGGCCACGGGATCAAGGCTGACGCGCCACACACACACACACACACACACGCTTGGGCTAATGGAGAGGGATGTATACTCTTTACTGGGTGGTTTTGTGGTGATGATATTTTGACTATTACTCTACTTTTTCTTCTCTCAAACCCTCCCCCTCTTCCTCGTTGCACATAGAGCTCGGATACCATAGATTCATTCATGTTTCTTTTGGATGGTGCATGAGCTGTTTGCGTTGTTAGATGATGTTATGATGTTATGATTATGATGGACATGATGGACATGATGATGGACATGACTGGTTATATAGAAATCTACACTCTCAAGTTGATACTCTTGATCCTTTTGTACATGTGTTTGATGTTGGCCTGTTGTTTCTACTCCTCGACCGATCTTTCTTCCTTCTTCTACCGACCCGTCCTCTATCTCCGAACGCAAGAGGAGAGATGATGGGGTAAATAATCTTGATACTTAGTACGTCAACCTCTCCTTGCACAGTTCTACCGCCACATCGGCCGTAGCGCCATCAAAAAAATCATTCAGCACAACCACCACCCCAGCACTTCCGCCCATCAGTTTCCGGCCTACCTCGCCCTTTAGCAGCGGCAGCATCTTGGCATCGCACACGGGCTTGGTCGCGAGAATCGGACTGGTACTGACGTCTGAATCCAGGACCGTGGCAATAATCACGTCCCTGATATTCGTGGCTGTCGCCTGGCACTGCAGCAGCGTAATGGGTTCACTGCGATGGCACTGCTCGTCTGCCATGGCATGTAGTTTGCGCACCATTTCGTCGCCCGTCAGCGTCGCGTTGGCCTCGTCATCGTAATTAGAGGCCTGCGGCACGTCTCGGAGTACAATCAGTCTTTTTGTTTCGCGGCGCAGCTCTGAAATGCTTTTGTGCATCATGTCGTGTTCACTTCCCACCTCGATCTCTTTGCCAGCCAGCACCTCGCACAGCACATCGTGAAGCTGGTCGTCGGTCGGCCGCGGACACTCGTCTGGCACGCCGTCCCACCGGTTCTGCAGCACGACTATCTCATCGCCGTGGCTGCCAAGAAAACGCACTACATGCTCCAGCAACACGCGATACGGCATCCCCGGTATAGCGCCATGCTGGAAATACAGCGTATCCGGCAGCGTAGTGATGCTCTGTAACCTGCGATGGCACTGCGCAGGGCGGAACTCAAAGTAGCGGGCTCCCAGCTGCAGCATCGCATCGAGCGTATCTTTCTGTGTCATGGCCAGCGCGCGGATGATATCTGGTGCGATGCGCTTGACAGCTGCGTCGGTGGCGCGATTCAGCATGGAGAATGCGCGCGGTAAACTGCGGCCCAGGACTTCTTTTACGAGGCCCGATCCGGCGTTTTGCAGGAGCTGCAGACTCGATGCCATGTTGTTCATGCCCACGTCGTGCGACGACGGCAGCACCATTCTGCTGAAGGGCCGGTCTGCGAGGTCTGAGTCTGGCGGAATCGCGTCGCGCATCCAGTGCGAGTAGTTGGGTGTCACGCACACGTAGCATTGATGCTGTTTCGGGAGCGCCGCGAGCCCTGGGCCTGCGTCGTAGAATCCATATGTGATTGCCATGTCGTCCTCGGGGAACAGCGCGGGCGTCTGCTCCATGGAGAGCATGCTCCCTGCTTCCAGCTTCCCAGTCATGCTGTTGACCGCGACCCATTGCCGCGTTAGCTCGCAGCCCTCGCGCCGTACGGTAAACGCAAAGTCGCCCGTGAACCTGAAGCGCGGCAGGTTCTTGGACTCGACTTCGAGGTGGTGGGTGAGGAATTGGCGGTGGGATGATAGCTTGATGGATTGCTTGGGGACGCTGAATTCGATTTGTACGCCGTCGACGGCAATGTAGGCGAAGCATTTTATTCCTTTGGATGGCATTTTCTTCTTCCTCTTTTCTTTTTTTTCTTTCCCCTCAAGTGTAGAGAAAAAAAGGGGGGGGACGATATTTTCGCGATTCAAATACTGCTGCTGCTGCTGCTGCTGGTCTGACCTGACCTGAACCTTACTTACAACGTTCTCGCACACCAGCAGCACTGTTCTTCACTTCAGTGGGGTAACTAAGTAAGTAAGTAAATACCCAAGTAACAAGCCCAGGCGATGAAAAATGCCCACGAGCCGAGAATCAGGCAATTCCCATTCCAGGGCCCCCATGGCAGCGGCAAAAGGGAACAGGAGTCATTGAGCAGATGGGAATGCAACCCATGTCCCCCCCCCTCCCCCCCTTTTCTCAGCTTGTCGTCTAGACTTGTCTAGCATGTGTTAGCGGTGGCTTAGCAGTTGGTGTTGAAGTGGGGAACGGGCGGTTCAGCCACACCAATGGGGGCTCCAGTATCGCATAAGTACCTAAACGCTATGTAGTCGGACCGGAGTCGCGGCAAGGCAGAGAGAGATCCCGATCCTGTTCTTTTTTTTCCGCTCTGGAACAGTGATAGTGGGAGGAAGTATGGCGTATATTGCAGAGAGCTCCGCGGACGGTGATTTAATGCGCTTTCGGGTATTTGATTGGGTGGTCTACTTGATAAGATACTTCGTTGCTATTTGGGCCCTTTCTAACTAGCCTGTTTTGCATACAGTAGCTGGACATGGAATGAAAAATGTAGACTGTGTGTGCTTGAAGCTATCGTCTACGTACTTACCCATTGTCCAATAAAACTTTTCTTCCTCCTTTTTATTTTCTTTCCAGCACCTCTACCACGCACAGCACACCTCCTGTTCCGGCCCTTCCCCCCCTACCCAAAAGCCGGCGAAAGCGCATACCCCACCACCAACTCCTCGCCCTGCTTAAAGCAGCTCCAAAGGTTCCCCACGCCCTCATCCAGCCCGGGACTAAACACACTGCCGACATAGCAAAATACGCTTTCATGCTCCTTGACGCCCAGCCGCTTGCGCAGGAAACGCACAATAGTGGCGAAATGCTGGTTCGTGCTCAGCTTGAAGATGCGTTGGGTTAGGTGTGGCGCGGAGCCGATGGGTTGGAGCCGGATGGTTACTGGGATGTGGGAATTAGAAAAGGGGAGGTTTTGAAGGTTGGGGGTGAGTGCATGGATGGATGCATGTAGTCATGTGGAGAGGGGGATGAATGCAAAGCACGTGCAAAGGGACGTTGGGAGCAACAACAATCTCAGCACAATGAGACGGGCTGCATGTACCTTTTTGAACAGTCAGATTCCCTGCTGTCTCGAGAGCTTTAGACGCATCTTTCGGTAGATTGGTCAGCACGACAGATGCTGCCATGCTGAGCGGCGCATCTGTGGTATCATTTTCCTCGGGTATCCTCTCTTTGGGTGATTCCGACATGGCGAAGCTGGATGAGGCTTGTTTTTGACGAAATGCAAAGCAAGGTGTGGACGATGAGGAAAAACTGTAGACGGCAAAAATAGTGCTGCAACGAGCCCGTTTAGATGTGCTGTCTTTGCTCGTCGTGGGAGATACGAAAGTAGGCCCAAGGCGATAGTCAGGCGGAGGTATAACGTAGGCCTAGCCAACCCCAGCCCCACCACACAAACAGCGTCATGTACAAACAATCTGGCAAAGCAATATCAACCCTCGTCTCGATATCTAATATTGTATACATATCTGATGTGATAATGATGCATAACATAAGCTGAAGCAATTGTGGTAATACGTTTGTCGTCAATTCCCCTAGTATGACAATGTCCTTCAAACCACCATGGTAGTACCAACGCCTCTTTCCAAGCACACGCGCAAACGCGCACACCACCACCAGCAGCCAGCCGGCTCGCAATCGCAATAACCAGCAAAAGAGACGGCAAAGGCCATGATGCAATAGGTATATACAAAGGGACGCGTGTATCGTTAGCCACCAGGGATCAGAGATCGTGGCCTATACTGAGTAAGGAAATGTGCAGGTTGTGCGTGTCGCCAAAATTGGGAGTTTGAAGTTGCGCCGCGAAAATGCTGTCAAAAACGGGTATTCGGTCGGAGAGTAATACGAGGGCCTCAGCGAGACAAGTATATAGAAGTGTGGGAAAGGAAACCTTTTCGTGGGTATTAGTGGAATCGTCCATTACGCCGTGACGGATGCAATTGTGGCCATGTAGTAGTCTGCATGAGCCACAAGGCTCATCGACGATCAAGTTGGGCGAGTAGCTGGTCGAGCTCAACCCAATTGTCAGAGTTTGCCGCAAATTTGCGGTGCTTGCGTGAGACGACGTGCTGTGTGCTGTTAGTAATGTGCCCGCAGGAATGCAGCCATGATTCGTACCTCGTCAAAGTCGTTGAACTTCTCCCTGCAGTTCTCGCAGTAGCCTGGCTTCAACTCCTTTTCAACAGTCTTGCGTCGGCGAAGAGCTGCCGCCTTGCGAGCCTGTCTCTCTTCGTCTCCATCGTCGTGCATTCGGCCCAATGTCTCTTGAGCCTTGCGCTTGGCCGCTCGCATGGGCTGCGAGTGCTCCTGGGTAATCGCGGTCCTGACATCGTTTGTGACGGACGAATGGCCACTATTCGTATTCGCCGACGGCGCGCTGTTCTTTTCAAGGACTTTTCGCTTCAACTGGTTGACCTCCTTGCTGTTACCGGCACGGGGTGCAGCAGCGGTGGAGGAAATCATTTGGGAACGGATAGCAGATGTCACGTTTGACTGGTGCAGGCCAGACGCGACAGGCTCGCCGGCAATGCAACGAGGCATCGCCCGGATACTAGCCTGAGCACTGCCGAACATGGGCGGTGGGCCATCAGCCGTGTTGCATCGCTTGGGGGGAATGGCTTTCGGGGGTTCTAGTGGCTTCGCGTCCTCAGTGTCTTCCTTGATCATGGCAGCGGGGGCACTAGGACGGCGGGCGAGGTTGTTGTTCTCGAGAAGCGCGTTCTTCTCTTCCAAAGCAGAGGCGGCACGCGTTCGTGGAGGTGCTGCCGCCTGTCTACGGCGTGCTTCCTGCTCCTCCTGTTGTCGGCGGCCGAAATGGGGATCTTCGACAAAGGGACATTTGCCGTTGCCAGAAGCGCGGAACTGCGGCCACTTGCCCTTTTCCTTCTCGACCTTCTGGTACTCTCGGATCATGACTGGCCGCGTGACCTCGTCCATGTCGTGCACATAGACGTAGTATCCGCGGAGAGGAATCATATCCTGCGAGGCCATGACATAGTCGCGGTCCATCTTCTCGTTCTGCAGCAGCCTCTGCAGGTCCGCAGGGCGACCCTTTTGCTGCTGTGCAGCTGCACTGTGACGCGTGGAGTGGCTGGCAACATCCTCGCCAGTCTCTTTGTTGAACATGGTATCAATCATGCGCTGCACCTTGTCAACAGACCATATCTTCATTCCCAAGCTCTTGGCCTTGTACAAGATGTCACCGCGGTCCGACTTTTCGAGGGCAGCATCAAACACAGACTTCTTATTCTCCAGCTGGGCCGGGTTGACGGTTCCCTTGTGGGCCGAGGAACTTCCATCAAGGTCGGCGGGAATGGTCCGCGTGGTGATGACATGGGTGACTTCTCTCGAGAAAAATTTGACCTCACGCTGCATGGGGTTAGCAATCGAGACGCGAGTGACTGTAGAATGTACGCACCGAGCCAAGGATGCGGGCTCTGCTCATAAGCTTGTCTTTTTGCGGATCAGATACGCTATCAAAGTAAAAGGCAAACTGGGGGAAAAGTTTGCGGTAGTGACGCTGCCATTGGCGGATCGTCTCCAAGTCCTGGGCAGCTCGCTGGGCAGCCTGCTTCGAGGGGGCCTTGGTCTCACGGGCGGCTTCCAGCTTCCTGGTCAAGGCCGTGGGCTGGGCCCCGCTCCGGCGGACCAGGCCATGGCGACGAGCCTCGGCGTCGTCGACCTCGATCATCTGCTTCTTGGGCGGGGGCTGGCCATAGTTGATGTCGCGCTGCTCGCTGGCATGGGAGCGCTGGCGCTTTCCTGCGGTGGGTGGTGCGCGCATGGGGGAGTTTGTGGCATTTTGCAGATTGGCGAGAGGGACGCGACGGCTCGACATGACTGGAAGAACCTGGGGCGAGGGAGGAAGAGCCACTGCGGCCATGCGTAGCTGTGGGCGGCGGTGGGGGGTTGATCGAGGGCGCGGGACTAGGGAAGGCTGGCGGGAGGGGCAGGTGTGCGTGTGATTGTGATGGTCGAGGTTAGCTCACGACGCGACGAAACGGGCACGTCGAGGGATTTTTCAGCAGCGCGTCGCCGCCATAGCCGCGTGGGCGAGTGTCTAGGGTGCGGGTGAGAAGAGAGAGCGAGCCGATTGAGAGCGAGGACAGCGCGTTGCAGGCCAGGGTCAGGTTTCGTGGACCAAGGAAAGAGAGGGTTTGTTGTGGAGGCTGGCATGATGATGGATGGGCATGGGCGCGCTAGCCCGACGCGGCGATAGCGTCGCCGTGTCGCGCGAACCACGCAAATAAACCGCCTGGCAACCAAACAACCCGCACCCTTGTTGTCAACACCGCTCGGACGCCCATGCTACTGCACGCGGCCTAGCTGACAAAGCGCCTCCTCCGCGACACGCCTCTGCTCTGCTCTGCCTCGACTCCTGCTCATTAAACCGCCCGACCCCACTTCTCCTGGATCTGCTTGGGCCCAAACATCCATCTGCCAGCCTGCCCCTGGGCGTGCCTTTGTTGGCCCAGTATGCAGGGGATTGGGAGCCGACGCCGGCGTCTGGGTCCATCTGGCCATTTGCCATCTCCAGGACTACACAGCTTGTCGCCCTCCCTATGCGTGGTACTCGAGTGTGCGGTACTTGAGTGCGCGGTACTCGAGTACGTGGTCCTGGCTCGCCACGATGCGGACCACTTGGAGACCTTTGCTCTCGTCAACCCCCTCGGTCATCATCGCGACCAGAACCACTGTGTGCTTGACCAAGCGGCTTGACGTTTCTGGGGAAAAGCTCGGAAAAAGGAACGTAGATTGCGGTATGCACACGATCCATACACCGAGTCCGCCTCCACATCTACGCGAACTGTGTAATACCGAGGGCGGGATGATCAGTTCATGCATCAACACAGATTGCTCCACAACGGCCACTAGTAAAGCATCTGATTGACATATACACAGCGCACCCACGCACCCAGGCATGGTGCTAATGCCGTGATCCCGCCTCGAGAGCCGTCCGACTACGCTACCACTACGGTTAAAAACCACAAGCGTGAACCAGATCCGCCAGGCCTGTCGCTGCCTCGACAACAACCAGAGTCATGGTCTGCCTTTGCCTTCATCAAAGATGGTTCGAGCTTGCACATGGCAGTGCGCGCTTATAGTCGCCATCTCTCATCACTGCAACTCCTACGACGGCATCAACTGGCCAGATGTAGTGTATATTACCAGACACCTCTGCACAGCCTGAAACGCCGGCCGAATACAGATGCAAATGAGGGCACTTTGATCACGGCAGCCTTTTCCAAGAGGCAGGCAATTGGGTGTACTGAGCACGTCGACTAACTTGTCAGCAGAAGCCAACGCAGAATGTGTGCGCTTTATTTGTTAATAACGAGGCAGAAGAGGAGAATGATGAGCACGTGGGCAGCTCACTTGTGCGGATACAGTGTACTCGAGCTGGTGGCCGAGTACTGATACCTCCGCCGTCTACTAACATGCACCGCGACGCCATAGCAGACGCATTGGCATCTACAGTTCTACAAGTACTCTCGTACACGATGGGGAGGTGATCGACGTGGTGGATGAAGAATGATACGAGGTGGCGCGATACCAGGCGTTGGATGGATAGGCCATGGCAAAAGCTCGTGTTGGCGGAGCATTCGCCGCCGAGGTTGGCAGATGGCTGCATGCGGCTTTCTCCTTGCACATGTTATGGGCTGGCGTGGATCGGCGTGGGATGACGTATGGCGGTGACAGGCTGCGTCTTGCCACGATCAGCGTTGTGACAGATGTCTCGCGGCTCCTAGTGGACTTGGCTCATTCGTGTTGGTACGTGTAGGCGCGAGGAGACTGCTTGCAGCTTGAGAAGGCTAGCATGGATGCCAGCGGGCTCATGGAACCATGATCAGACGCCATCCATCACATGCACAAGACGATCACGTGTCGTCTCAACACATGAAAGGCCCTGAGATAAGACGGCGGCAATGATCGGGTGGAGCTGGAGAGGCGATAGGGCATGCCTGCAAGGCTCGGTCACGGTCACGGTCGCGGACATGGGCGGGTGTGGATAAGGGGAAAAGGTTCGCGCACGAGGATTCGAGAAGGACGCAAGGCCAGAGACTAAAGCACATAACCAAACCATGGAAAAAGAAAGCGAAGCAAACGTTGCACACACGTTCGCCCCCGTTGGACTTCATTGGCGGCGGGAGAGGTCGGCAATCGGGCCTGGACGACCCTGGCACGCGTCCGCGCCGTCCGCACAGCTCAACACTTTCACATGCAAGCCGCCTCACCACACGCGCGACCTGGATTTTGTCCAATTCGGCATAAGGCCGTCTCAGCCAAACGAGCATAGCCGCCATAGGGCCGCAAAGCGTTCAAATGCTCTCCTTGCGCGCCCGTCGCTGTCTCTGCAACTGTGTCTGCTCGACTCCCATTCGCGTCCGTTGATCGCCAACCGTGGGTGACAAGACACAGACGGAAATGCTGCAGGTACAACAGACAGATCTCGCGCCGACGTCTTTGGAAACGCCTTCTTTTACGCACGCCGAAGAAAGCAGCTTTCGTCCAAGCATGATCTACAACGTGCTGCCCGCCATATTGTCCAACCGCCTGCCCACGATACCCTCCCTCCGCCAGTCCCTTGGTGATGTACGGGGTCGAACTTCACACGCAAAATCCGAGTCGGTGACTGAGTTACCGCAGCCCGAGACGCCACCGCCGGGCTATTCGTCCACGCCTCCAAGCGGATTCATCACACCCCACCGACTGTCGGCAGCTCTGGGCGAGGCGGAGGTTGACTTTGCGGATGACATATCTGAAGGGCCAGCGTCTCCGAGAAATGCGCCGCTGTCGGTGCTGGGCGCCCACGAGACGAGCACGGGAATCCGGTGGAAATACGCTAATCTAGGTACGGCACAGAGGGAGCTTGGCCGAGGGAGAATGTCTACTGACACGATATGCAGGGACAAGTCTGCTAGCCCAAGCGTCGAGAGAATCCAGCGCACTGACAAGCAGCTCCGAGGAGCCATGCGCGACACTCACACGCCAGCTGTACATTCACGCCATCACCTATCTGCTTCGGGGCTTGCCCGCAAAGCTCACGCCAGAGGAAACGCTGGGCCTCCAAGCAGCCCTCCCTCAGGATGTCGTCGATGCAGCCAACGACGCAAATGCGGGGGCGCTGATACTGCCAGCCTCGCAACGGAGCCTGAGCGCCCAGGAAAAGCCTCCACAGGACCCGACTGTGCTGCATCGCATAACAGCGACATTGGTGCTGCAGACGTTTCTCCTGCTGCAGTTTCTCCTACCGTACATTCGGCTGTTTCTGTCGCACGCCTATCGGTTTGAAAGAAAGCACCAAATCACCAAGCGGGTCGTCAATACGAGCGTCGCCACGGTCGACGACATTGGACGGAGGACACTCAGGCTGTCGCAGACGGTGTGCCAGATGAATGACGGCATGATTGGACAGGCCATCAACGAGATGAGCATCTGGTGGATAACGGGCGTGACTGGAGGGGTGCAGCAGGGCCTGGCCGAGGGGCTGCGAGCCGTGAGGGCGGCGGAAGCGCAGCAGCGGGGCGAGGCCGAGGTGGTCAACTGAGGCGACGTTTGATTTTGCATTTGCATGGGGGATGGCGTTTGAGCATTTTCATGGTTGCATAGCCTGATCAAGTTACAGAACAGAGGAAGATGATGATGATGGATACATTGATTCAGAGACGCGGCGCAGGGCAGAGGGGAGGGCAGAGGGCAGAGGCTGGTGGGCCCGAGCGCCCTTATCTTATCGGCATGGCGGGCAGTCTTCTCTTCGTAGCGCGTAAACGGTGCACGTCCCTCGTCAAAAAAGTGCATGGCAAAGTTTCTGGCGACGCTGCAGCCACACGCCTCTTCTCCCACTCTCTGGTCCCAGAGTCGCCTTTTCCATTGAGGCATCTACGCACAAAATTTCTCTTCTTGTTTGCTCTACACATTCAGATACCCGGTTTGTTTCTGCGCACTGCGTGCCCCTCGCCACACATCATGTTTGGCGCAGTGAGAAGATGCCCGGCCACTCTCTCGAGGAGCCTGGCAGCCATCTCCACCAGGACCCTTCGCACACCCCTCACTTACACGCCAGGCCTCCTGCGGATACCGCTGCAGTCGTCGCGCCTCGCGAATGCGGCCATCTCGGGCTTCCACCACAGCGCAAAGTGGCAGCAGGCCGTGGCACAAGAGGCCGAACAGAGCGCACCACAACATGAACTTATTACAGAGTTCAAAGACCTCGCTACGCGGGGACTTGTCCACCCCAATCTCATCAACACCATTACCAAGCAGATGAGGCTCAAGACCATGACGGACGTGCAGAGCAGGACCATCAACGAGGCTTTGAGCGGAGTAGACGTGTAAGACTCTTTTTTTTTGCGCTTGAGAGAACACCGACTGACGCATTCCAGCATTGCACAAGCAAAGACTGGTACTGGTAAGACGCTGGGTTTCCTCATCCCCGTCATCCAGCGTATCATCCAAAACGACCCACAACTCGGCGAAAGGGTCAGAGGCTACAAGCGCGCCCGGCCCGACGACATCAGGGCCATTATCATTTCTCCCACGCGAGAACTGGCCGAGCAGATTGCCGTCGAAGCCAAGAAAGTCACCGCGGGGACTGGCATCATTGTCCAGACTGCCGTCGGAGGCACACAGAAGAGGCTCATGCTCCAGAAGACTCAGCGTGAAGGATGCCATCTCTTGATCGGCACTCCCGGCCGACTGTACGACATCCTCTCGGATGAGTACTCTCGCGTCAAGGCGCCAAATCTAAACGCGCTCGTCATGGACGAGGCCGACCGCCTGCTCGACGAGGGTTTCCAGAAGGAGATTGATGAGATCAGGACGCTTCTTCCTGACCCAACCGAGACGGAGCGCCAGAACCTCATGTTCTCGGCTACTATTCCTCGCAATGTCGTGCACCTGGTTCGTCAGACTCTGCGCCCCAACTTCCACTTTGCCAAGTGCGTCAACGAAGACGAGGCACCCACCCACCAGCGAATTCCCCAGAACATGGCTCTGGTGTCTGGTTTTGAGAACAGAATTCCCGCTCTCTACGAGCTCGTGCTCAAGCAGCACCAAAAGTCCCAGGCTGGTGAAGGCCGCCCTTTCAAGGCCATTGCCTATTTCAATAGCACCGCCGAAGTCACGCTCGCTGCCTCTGTATTCTACAAGCTTGGCGGTGGCTTCAAGCGCAGCAATGCTCTCTCGGGTCTCCGTTGCTTCGAGATTCACGCCAAGCTGACTCAAGGACAGCGCACAAGGGCTGCAGACGACTTCCGCTTCGCCAAGTCGGGCATTCTGTTCTCGTCTGATGTGACGGCCCGCGGTATGGACTTCCCAGATGTCACTCACGTCATTCAAATGGGTCTCCCGCGTGACCGTGAGTCGTACATTCACCGTCTTGGACGTACTGGTCGTGCGGGCAAGGAGGGTGAGGGCTGGTTGATTGTTACTCCATTTGAGAGGCAAGAAGTCCACCGCCGTCTTCGCGACCTGCCTCTCACGGACGTGACGCACGAGCTGGAGACTGCAGCCATCGACATGAGCCAGCCTACTGAGGTACCAGAGGACATTGCCAAGATCCTGTCGGACAGCTTGGAGGCGCACAAGAAGGTATACCCCGACCATCTTGATGCAGCATTCCGCGGTCTCTTTGGAAGCTTCCAGTGGTATGGTGACAAGCGTGAGTTGATTGAGGGCGCCAACCGTTTGGCAGAGTTTGGCTGGGGTATGGAGACGCCACCCCCGCCGCCATCTTCTGTGACATCTCAGCTTGGCCGACGAAGTGTTAGTGGTGGTGGCGGTGGCGGTGGCGGATTTGGCGGCAGACAAGGATTCGGGGGTAGATCGGGTGGCTATGGCGGTGACCGAAGAGGTGGAGGTGGAGGTGGAGGCTTCGGTGGTGACAGGAGGAGTGGAGGCTTCGGTGGTGACAGGAGGGCTGGTGGCTTTGGCGGTGACAGGAGGGCTGGTGGTTTTGGTGGTGACAGGCGAGGAGGTGGCTTCGGTGACCGAGGTGGTGGCTTTGGCGACAGGAGAGGCGGCGGTGGCTTCGGTGACAGGCGAGGAGGAGGAGGTGGTGGTGGATTTGGTGACAGGCGAGGCGGCGGTGGATTTGGTGGAGACAGGCGAGGAGGGGGAGGTGGTGGTGGAGGTGGCTTTGGTGACCGCACCCCACGGGAACCTCGACTCAACTTTTAAGGAAGGCGGCGTGTAAGCTGTGTTTTCTTGATGAAGTTACGGTCTACGCCCCTCTTTTCTTTTGTTCGTCATCATCCTGTATTATATATTGTATACCCGCGAACCAAAAGCTCCTTTTTTTTGTATGAGTTCTCTCGATGTCTGGTGGGCTGCACTATGAGCGGTGAATAGGTAGAGAGGGATATGGTTCTATATCATGGCACTCCATACATGATGCGACATGGCCATCTATCTGGTCTTGCAAAAGATTGTACCCACGACACAAGCTTTCCTTTTAGATTCTCCAAAAGCAATCATTCCGACCCAGACTTGCCCCTCTCCTCCTCCTCCTCGACGACAGCCTTGAACTCATCAAACGCCTCCTTGGCCATGGGATACGTATGCTCCTTTGCGGGATACACGCGACTCTTGACCTCATCCCTGTACAGTTCCAGCGCGCGCTGCGCCTCGGCCCACACATTGCCATACTGCTTGACGAATTTGGGCAGAAAGCGGCCGGGCGGGAAATTGCCCAGCATATCCACCTGCACGAGAACCTGGCCCGAACACGCATTCCCAGCTCCGATGCCTATCGTCGGGATCTTCAGCTCGGCGGTAACCAAGCCTGCGACTTCAGCAGGCACGGCTTCCAGCACGACGGCAAACGCACCCGCATCCTGCACGGCGCGCGCATCCCGCAGCAGTTTCAGCGCCGAGCCCGCCGATTTGGCCTGCACGCGGAACCCGCCGAGGCTGTTTTGGCGCTGCGGTGTTAGGCCAATGTGTGCGAGCACGGGGATGCCCGCGCGCGTAATGGTCGAGATGGTGGGCGCCATTTCGGCGCCGCCTTCGAGTTTGACGGCTTTGACGCGCCCTGTTTTGAGCATCAGGATCGACGAAGATAGGGCTTGTGCGGGTGAGATTTCGTAGCTGCCCATGGGGAGGTCGCCGACCTGCACGGGCTCTGGTTAGACATGTTTGGGGATGTTTGGGGTTTTACGGGGGGTAATAGGAGAGAGAGGGGGGGGGGAGAGAGAGAGGAGGGAGATATACGGTAAATGCAGTTTTGGTAGCCCGCGACACGGATTTACAATGCAGTAGCATTTCCTCGAGGAGCACTTCACTCGTGTCTTCCATGCCCAGCGCCACCATGGCCAGGCTGTCGCCCACGAGTATCATGTCCATGCCCGCGTGGTCGGCGACGTGGGCGCTCGGAAAGTCGTGCGCTGTCACCATGGTGATGGGCTCGCCTTTGCGGTGCATGCTGTGCAGCGTCGTGATGGTGACGGGTTTGCGGGCGTGCGCGGGCGTGGTGCCCAGGGGTGAGTGCGAGCTCCATCGCGTTTGGGACGGTGATGGTGGTGCTGCGGTGCATATTGGTGTTGGTATTGGTGTTTTCACAGAAGAGTATATCCGCGGCGTCAGGCGTGCAGACGCTCGGAGCGTAGTAGTAGTGGTGGTGAGGAGCGCACGCGACATGGTGCAGCAGCAGCAGATGTATGTTCCGGGTTGAAAAAGCAGAGGACCGAGGGAGACGAGGAAGAGGAGATTTGGCCGGCCATGGCGTTTTAGTGCGGCGACGCGTCTTACTTATGGGGGGGATTGTGATGATATCTTCAGCGAAGTTCTGAGCAGGACGTCGTGTAGTAAGAGTGATGGGTTCGGTACTACCGAGGATCTTGGCTGCTTTTGGACCCGACCCGACAGTGGCGCAGGGGGGGTTGTCCGCCTCATGCATGCCAGATGAGAGCGGCAGGTTGGATGCTCGGTGTGTAATGACGTGAATTCCGCATCTTTTATCTCGTGGTATTTTCTCTTTTCTTTTCTTTCTTGAGTTTCTTTTTTATTATTTCTGGTTCGGAGACCGCCTCTGCATCCCCGGATGGGCGGACAGGCGGGGCATACTTACTGCGAAGCCTCGGGAAAGCCGCGGGATTGCTCTGTAGTGATTAGGTCGTGTACGCGTCCAGAGTGGAAGTGCGGGCTCGGAGGAAGACAAAGAGAGGTTAGGAAAAGAGTGTTGAGAGCGAGATTTGTAAAGACTCCGAGCATGTCTTTATCTGTCTTGATGTCTTGGAGCATGTTCAGTCATTAGGGCGAATTATGGGCTTTCTTCGGCCCCGTGCTGGCAGCTGGTTGATGGATGCATCGGGGGGAGCGGACGATCTTGAGTAATACATGTTTAATACATAGGATATATTCTGAGTATGTAAATATAGCGCTGCATACGAGTGAATACGGAATATCGACGGGTGGATATCGACTTATGCACTGCGTCTCGTGCTTGAGCTGCACAACGGACAAAGCGAATGTGCAAGCAAGTGCACCTGTAAAATTCAGACCAACCATGAACAGCAATAATCGACAAAGAATCTAGCGCAAGGGCGATCTGGAAGCCAGGTGGACATGTCGTGTCGGCCATGAGATGAGGTGCTCGGGTGAGACGTGCGCAAGCGTGACACGCCGCCATGGTCGCTCGTGATCACGACTACCTCCATCTCTCTTTCTCCTGCGTGGCCCTGGTCCCTAACTAAGTACCCAGTCGTGACCCAAAACACCGCCTGTCAACAACACGACGCTCGCAGCAATCCCACGACCCCCCCAAACAGAGCGCTTGCAATCGCCTTCCAGCCCGCCCCTCTTGCGCTACTTATCGATAACCCCGCCGCCCGCCGCACGACTGCTCCCTCACCACCCAGCTGCGCAACTCGCCATACGCCCCATATCACGCCCGCCTGGAATCCACACAAGCAACACATACGAGAATAGACAATCCGCCACCATGAGCTCGCCAAAGAGACGTATCGAGACGGATGTACGTGGGCCCTGCTCCCCCGTATGACTGTTGCAAGCACACGCTAATCGCCGCCTTCTCCGCCAACAGGTCATGAAGTATGTGCGCAGAGACCCGGCTATATTGTACTCTGCTAACAAGCACTAGGATGTATGTCAAGCAGCCTGGCCGTCGGCTCCCTCGCGTCGACACCCGCGGCAACACGGAGCCCAGCTAACAGCCGCAGGCTCATGAGCGACTACGAGGTCACTCTGGTCAATGATAACAGTAGCCACCCCTATCCCCAAGCAAGCTACCAGCTAACACATCCCAGTGTCAGTCCATTGCCGCGCACCATGCAACACTACTGACACGCCCTAGGCAGGAGTTTTATGTTAGGTTCAAGGGGCCGTCAGAAAGTAGGCAACCTGCTGTGTCTGATGCCGTACCGATGCCGTACTGACCATTGCAGCGCCATTCGAAGGCGGACTCTGGAAGATCCACGTCGAGCTGCCAGACCAATATCCATACAAGAGCCCCAGCATCGGCTTCGTTAACAGGATATTCCACCCCAACATCGACGAGCTGTATGCTATCCACCGAATACTCTCAACGCACGCTAACACATACAGCTCCGGCTCCGTATGTCTGGATGTCATCAACCAAACGTGGTCGCCCATGTACGACATGATCAACATCTTCGAGGTCTTCCTCCCTCAGCTCCTTCGATACCCCAACCCGACCGATCCTCTGAACGGCGAAGCGGCTGCTCTTCTTATGCGAGAACCCAAGAGCTACGATGCCAAGGTCAAGGGTGCGTATACAATTGCTACTTTAAGCGAAAGGGTCTAATAAATGTAGAATACGTCCAAAAGTATGCCAGCAAAGACACGGCTGAAGACTCGGATAAAGACGATGGCGAAGATGACGAGATGAGCTCTGTTGGCAGCTACGAGTCAGGAGACGAGGACGGAGCAGCCGGCAACATGGATGATATTTAGACAATGCGTTCGGAATAGCCCTGTCTATCACATATCATTAGCCTTTCCTTCGCTTTCTCATGGCCGGACGTTCAAGGCGCTGTTTGGCGCAAATAGGCTTACTCCCGACATTTTTTGGACTTGGTTGGTTAAGGTTTTGACTTTATGGATTGGCGTTGTCAATTGTCTGTTTTGTCTGTAGTGTCAAGCATTTCGACTATCCAGATCAAGACAGACTCTGTTCGATTAGGATATTGTTAGTGTCTGTTTAGACTACTATTATCGATACTTTATAACTTGAGATGTTGTCGTGTATGCATTTGCCTCGTGATTTCGCTGTCACTCTACTGTTGGACTTGTACGAGATTAGATGTTCAGTTTGATTTGAATGCAAACAAAGTGCATCATACACCGCTGATGGTACATCATATCAATTGGAACTAGGCTCCCGCTCAAGATATCTCGACGCGGTGAACAACACTCGACTACACCACACTTCATCTTCATCTTCACCTTCATTCACCCCTTCTGCCTAGAAAATTCTCCTCTTCACCTCGTTTTAGGCCCGAGCTTCCCACACACTCAACTGTATATAAACAATCAGAAAGTTGCCACTATACATCACAACAACAGCACTACAACACAACACTGCAATAACAACAACAACAAAATCAACAGAACTACAACAAGATAGTAAGTACATGACAGTAAGGATGCATGGGGAGGGATGAATTGAGTTGAGTGTTTGAAACCAAGACTAACGCATCTCACAGCAAACAAACATGGCTCCTCGCGCCCAGCACAAACACCACAGCACGGCTCGTCCAGGTAGACACCGCGACTATCTGAATGCGCGTAATGGTGCGGGTGTAGCTGCTAATCGCTCTTCCGCTCTTGCTTCTGCTTCTTCTGCTGCTGCTACTGCTGCTGCTCTCAAGAAATTGGATGAGCGGGAGCGTGGCGGTGGTGCAGAGCGCAGTATGGGTATGCATGTGGATGCTATGGTTCATGACGGCTACGACTACGGCAACGCCAGCGAGAAGAGTAAGAATGAGGGTAAGGACAAGGGCAAAGGTAATGCTAGTCCTCGGTATGCTTCTTCTTCTTCTTCTTCCCCTTTCTTCCCTACCACCACTACCGCCTCCAACATCTTCTCCAACAACCACAACAACAACAACAAGGACGAAGATGCCAACAAAGACAAGGACGCCGACGCCGACGACGACGAAGAAGAAGACGAACACGTCCCCAACAACAAGCGCTCCATCATGGTCGTGCCCCCGAAACCCCTCCTCGCCAAACGCGCCAAAAAACCCACTTCCATCATCAAGCGCGCCTTTACCAATGAAAAGCTGCGTGCCATTATGGCGAATAAACCCTGGCCGAGGGAACGCAAGAAGGCTGGGGCTGAGAAACCCGTGCTCAAGATGGGGGTTCGGAGGGAGTATAAGTAGGTGGGTGGATGAGTGGGTGAGGATGGGAGGAGGAAGTGGGTAAGTGGGGGATATGGTGCAGATGGATGAATGGATGGGGGGTTAGAAGAGAAGTGGAAATGTAGCGAGGACAAGATGAACAAGCATGAAATGCATCATACATCAAGACCAAGTAACCTGCCTTGAAATAACCCCGACTTGAAATGCAAGAAACACGCCACTCGACTGCATTCTCCTCCACCAAGTACATACCAAAATACTGGTCACATGTGTCGACGCTATATTTAAATTTCTCCACTCTCCCTCCCTCCATACTCACTCATATCACTGTCCATGTAGCTACATCCCCGTTGTCCTGCAGTTACATCTTCAATCATTCATCCACATGTAACACCTTCAACATCAACTTCAAAATCAACCCAGCATCAACTTCAACATCAACCCCAACTCCAACTACATTTACCACCAGTACAACTCACTACACAACCACATCATCGCAATCAAACTAAAATCCCAACACACACACACACACACACACACACATACACATACACACAGAGAGAGAGGGGAGTTATGTATGTAGTTGGTCTGGACTGGGGTAATGTGGTGTATACATTTCTTTCTTTCTTTCTTTCGATTTAGGTTAATGTAGAATTGGTGTCTGATTAGTTTACGTAGTCAAGATTCTATCCATATACATATACATACCACCATATTTCCAACAAAACAGCAAACACGATGATTTCCTTGATTCGGGTGAACATACACAAGCGACTTGGTCATGACGCAAAACACCGTCTCCAAACCAAACATGCATCTCCCCCGGTTCGCACATAGCTAGATGCTACAGCTGCACCGCCACACGGCTCGTCTGGTATTTCCACGCTGTGTCAGTGGTGAAGCGCTACTATAGTAGCTCATGAACGGCTCCATCTATACACGCGAGAAAAAGACAGCGAGGATACAAGAAGAAGAAGAAGAAGAAGAACGAGAACTCACCCAAACATACTTCAAACTCCCACTATACGCCCACCGCGTTCCTAGAGCGGCACTCGCAACCACTGCGTGCGTCACACCGGGGTGTATCCGCGGCGCACCCAGTTTCTCTCTCGGGCGCAGCGAGAAACAGGGGTACGTACGAATTCCCTCACACTGGGCAGCGGCAAACCCCGCTTTAACAGCGTACTCAGCCGTGTATCTCGGCAGCGCACCCGCCAATTTTGGTGGCGAAAATATTCTAGTAGACAGAGGACCCGATGCAGCCACCGACGGAACGGAGCGAATCGAAAGCGAGAGCGCCGCGGCCGAGGTAATCAGCGCATCGGGACAACATGAGCATGGCGAGAGTGGCAGCAGGAACTATAAGTAACGGCGGCGGTCTCGAATCCCGCCATGCAGCCGAGAAACAGCACGAGGCGCTCGTTGCGCGGCGTGGGTGACGGCCAGGGCGCCTGCGAAGCCCGTCATCAAGAGACACGACCCGCCAGCAGGACAGGCGTGGTGTGCGCGCGGAATCTGGAGAGCGCCGCGTTGAACACGATCCCAGATTCTGTTCGATGAAGCGGAGCGAGCCACGGGTGAAGTACAGGATAATCTGCGACCCTGGTGGCTTGGTCAATGGGGCGAATTTAGAATGCTGCAAAGGCTTCGAGTTGACAAACCTGTATACAAGTCCCGCCAGACACATTGCAGCCAGTATACTGCGGGTGCTCCATTGCACTTTTCCCTCGGAAGCATCTCCTTTCAATGCATGCGTGTTGTTGATATCCACGCCTTCAGCATGTGTTTCCTGGCTAGACGCCAGCTCTGATTCAGCCGGGATGCCTGTATCTTCGATGTGACTGATTTGCTGCTTTTCTTTTACGTCGGCGTGTCGAGCTGTATCCGGAGCCATGGTGACGCACGGTTTGATAGACAGAAGTTGCTGCAAGACACAGCAGCAGCGTGTCTAGCAGGCGCTCGACACAAGTACCTGGGAACCTCCATGTTCCTACAAGGTACTTCAGCATACAAAACCCCACATCACGGACAACGTATTCCACGCGATTCAACCACGAACGCGTAGTTGGCACTTCCTTGCCACGGACTGGTGCAGGCCAGGCCAGCCTAGCTTGCACTTTTATAGGATATGCAAACACCCGGGGTATCAAGCCTAGCAAGTGCGGGGAAACGCCGCATTCAGGGGTTGATGGCCGGACTCATGTCGAGCCCAGAGTCTTATGTCGAGATGCCGACTCCATTCGGATGCTACAACGAACTACCCCGCATTATGGACCCTGGAGCATCGGGAGTTGATGTTTAGTTCTGCGATTGTGGGCGGAGCCGTGTCTGGTGGCTGAGCCTGATTCGTAGGAAGATTATTACCTTGTAATGGGTTCCTCGTATTCCAGGCAGGCCGTGGGTGTCTGGAATCGACATGTGGCCTGGAACATGGTAGGCGACTTGGAAGGGGGGATGTAACCACGTACCCGTTCATAGCGTCCCCTTCGATTTCCGAAAACCCAATCCTGACCACCCATGTCAGTCATCAATTGCGCTACAAACTATTCCATAACCACCGTGACTCAGCACGAGCTACATCCAAATGAGCAAAGACAAGTACTTACAGAACCTACTGTACGGTGGTCAAGGCCAACACCTAGTCGGCTGCTAGGTCTTCCAGGGCTTCAAGTCAGCTGTCAGACTTTAACTCGGCTATCAGGATCAGGTGAAACGATGAGCCCTTTGATATCAGTGCGTCGTGATAAAAGGAAAAGAAAGCGAGGAAAGACGAGAGAAATTACGAGTATAGATTGAGAAACTCAGATTCTAACCAGCTGGTTGTCGGTAGAGTATCGTGCAAGTGTTTGATTTGTGTATGCGCAACATGTTGACCAGGTATTAAATCTGAAGCTGAAAACCCATCATTTGCATATCAATAAATAGTCGAAGCTTACCGCAGATCCGGTATGAAGCTGGTTATTCCCTCAACAATCCATAGCTTGATAGCTAGAACAATGTGAAATCTATTTCCTCGCTGCTTCATCAGCAATCAAGGCCTCGACATCTCTTTCCATGAGCCAACTGCGAACACTCTCCATGACTGTGCTCAGCGTCTGCCCGCCCTGCATGACATCATCGAGATCATGTACGGTAGTGCCGCTCCTGTGGTCTGTGACGCGTTGTTGGCCCCAATTGTACGTGCGGACCTTGTCACCACGCCCCATCTTGGCCACGCCAATGACGCTGCGTCGCATATTTGCCATTTCCTCTTCACGCTTCTCTCGCCGTGCCTGGGCAATGCGCGAGCGCAGTAGGTTCCACGCCTTTTCCTTGTTCTTGTGCTGAGACCTCGAATCCTGCATCGCAACAACCGTGTTGGTAGGCAAATGGGTGAGCCGGACAGCGGATTCCGTTTTGTTGACGTGTTGGCCACCCGCACCACTGGCGCGCATGACCTCGAGCTTGACCTCCTTTGGGTCGATGTAATAGTCGCTTTCGGGCTTGTCAAAGTCCTGTTCCTCGGCAGAATTCTCCTGCAGACTGGGCAGAACGTGGACCGATGCAGCGCTGGTATGTGTTCGACCCTTGGTCTCCGTGGCCGGCACTCGTTGCACCCGATGGACACCTGCTTCGCATCTAAACACGCCGTATGCATTCTCGTCCTCGACCTCCATGATGGCCTCGGAGAGCGGGACCCCAGCTTCTGTCGTGCCGTTGATGTTTTCGTATTTGAGCAGATTGATGCGGAAGCCATTGCGGTTGCAGAAAGCCTGGTACATGCGAAAGAGATCACCGGCGAAGATGGCGGCTTCTGACCCGCCCGCGCCAGGCCGTATCTCCAGCAGACATGGCAGGTGCGCAAAAGGGTGGACGGGCACTAGGGAGGTAATCAGCTTCTGTGACGCATTGGCGAGCTGCGTTCGCGTGTCTGCGAGGTCGTCTGCAGCGAGTGATTGTAGTTCAGGATCCGTCGAGGAATCGTGTATCATGGAAGTGAGCTCTGCAACAGTCTTAGTCCAGATCAGCAGCTGCACCTCCTGCATGTGCCTGTCGGATGCTCACCTCATTGGCTTTATTCCACTCTCCCAATGCATTCACAATGGGGCTGTACTCGCCCAGTTTCTTCGCGGCGCGCGTATCGAAGCCATTGGATAGTTTCTCCGTGAGCTGCTTGTGCTCAGCGGTGATTGCCTGGGCTCGAGCGAGGAGGGCTGGAGGGATAGATTCAGGCGACGCAGCTTTTGCGCATCAGCAATCGATGTACAGGAACATGCTGACGCCACCTACCAGAGCTTTGCAGGCGAATGCCGCGCCCGAGCAGCGGCCTAGCTATACGCGAAAGGCAGTTGCGACATACCCAAGGGGCCGCAAGCATAGTCGTGGACAAGTGCCGAATCTCGACTTTTGGTGGAAATGTCAGCATCCAAGGCGCATTCCGAGCGGCTCGGAATGCGTGCACGTGACGCTATCGCTCACACCCACACACCTGTCACGACCAAGTCCCGCCGCGTAACCACCTTCCCAATGCATCTAGCCCGCATGTTCCTCCAAACGTCATGGGCGCGATCGGAATCTCTTTCGACGACGGTATTGACCGACTTCGGCATTTTGAGCGGCAGCATGGGTCTCCGGGGATAGCCGCCTGTCATACACGGACGGCTATGTATGATATATTGTAGGCTTCCCCAGATTCTCACCGGTTTCCTGAAGCTTTAGCTCCCGTTTCTTTCCTCATACACAATGGCCGTTCAAAGACGAAGCAAGCGGGCAAAGACCCATCACGACCCCGACCCCGAGTCCAAGCTCAAGCCCAGCACGACCAAGTCCAGCACCAGGTCCAGCACCAAGTCGACCAAGTCCAAGCCTGAGAAGCAAGACTCCGCAGAGACTATAAAACTCAACCCAAACGTCTATCCTCATCCTGACCCTCAGCTCGTCCACTTTCCCAGCCGCCGCTCTGTGATACACAGCACCAAGGGCATTGTATCGAGCACCCAGCCACTCGCGTCGGCCGCTGGTATCGAGATATTGAGAAAAGGCGGCAATGCAGCGGTGAGACACGAGCCATTGCAGGCGTTCCACCCGGCAATACTAACGTAACCCAGGACGCAGCGGTTGCTGTCGCAGCGGCCATCAATGTCACGGAGCCGGGGTCGACTGGAATTGGCGGTGACATGTTCTGCCTGTTCTACGACGCAAAAACCAAGAAGGTTTCTGCGCTGAACGGGTCAGGCCGCTCGGGTGCAAACGTCACGCTGGACAAAGTCAGAAAAGACCTCAAGCTTGCAGATGGCCAGACCGGTCAGATTCCCATGACTCATGTGCATGCAGCGACCGTGCCGGGTGCTGCAGCGGGATGGGTTGACTGTGTCGAACGCTTTGGCAGCGGAAAGGTCAGCATGGATGAGATTCTCGGACCCGCAATCGAGCTTGCGGAGCAGGGCTTCCCCGTGTCGGAGCTGTCTGCCACCTTTGTAAGTCTGGATGTGTCCTGCTTGAGAGACATGCCCGCTGAGACGGAGACAGTGGGCAGAGAGCGAGTCTGAGCTCCGTCGTGCCTCTCCGAATGGCCATGAGATGCTCAAGAAAGACGCTGCGGCCCAAGACGGCCACAGGGCGCCAAAAGCGGGTGAGATTATGAAGAACCCGACCATAGGCAACACGTTCCGATTGCTCGCCAAACACGGGAAGAAAGGCTTCTACGAAGGCGAGGTCGCCGAGCAGCTCGTCAAGGTTGTGTCAGACCTCGGCGGGTACCTCACTCTGGACGACCTCAAGCATCACGCAGACACGGGTTCCGAGCGCGTCGAGCCCATCTCGCTCCAGTTCACGGGCCAAGGCGTAGGGGAGCGTCCTGAGGGCGGCGTGGAGCTCTGGGAACACCCACCCAACGGCCAAGGCATTGTCGCGCTGATGGCGCTCGGCATCATCCAAGAGCTGGAGAAGCAGGGCAAAATCCCCAAATGGCGTCTGCAAGACCACAACAGCACTGGCTACCTGCATGCCCTGGTTGAAGCGCTGCGAATCGCCTTTTGCGACGCCCACTGGTTCGTGACGGATCCTAGCGTGGTCAAGGTGCCGTCCGCGGAGCTCATCTCCGCCGCGTATCTGGCGGAGCGGGCAAAGTTGTTCGATGCCAACAAAGTTATTTCGGCGCCTGTCCACGGGTCGCCAGCACATCTCCAAAGCGACACGGTCTACTTTTGCTGCTCAGATCAGGAAGGCAATGCAATCTCCTTCATCAACAGCAACTACGGCGGGTTCGGCACCGCCATTGTGCCCAAGGGCTGTGGCTTTACGCTGCAAAACCGCGGCGCAAACTTTAGTCTGGACCAGAAGCATCCGAATGTTCTGGCGCCGAGAAAGCGGCCGTACCACACGATCATCCCTGGGCTAACCACGCACATCAAAGACGGAAGTTTGCACTCTGTGTACGGCGTCATGGGCGGTTTTATGCAGCCCCAGGGCCATGTGCAGGTGCTGCTCAACCAGGAGGTGTTTAAACTTAACCCCCAGGCGGCGCTTGACGCGCCTCGCATCTGCATCGGGGCTGGTATGCCAGACGCCAATGGGCAGATGACAGACGCGACTGTTTATCTCGAAGAAGGTATTGATGCAGACGTGGCCGAAGAGCTGCGGGCTCTGGGGCATAATGTGCAGCTGACTAGTGGTTGGGCGCGCGGCAAGTTTGGTCGGGGGCAGATTATCAGGCACCATGTGGATGATGGCGTGCAGGTTTGGAGTGGAGGGAGTGATATGCGGGGTGATGGTGCGGCAGTTCCGTTGTAGTCGGCAAAAGTTTGTGGATGTATGAGCTATGATTATGAATAAATGATTTGGTCAAGAATAGTTGCTGGAGTTGAAGTAACGATAACAGCGGGTCCAAGTAGCCGGGTATCTCATTCGTTCATCATAGCAGTCAGTGCAGCGCAATGCATGTAAAGTGGCGCCAGGCAATTCAGGCGGTCGATACATTCGTCTTGCCGTTTCTCCTCCTCCAGGCGCGAACGCCGTTGTCAATCTCGTTTCTTGTGACGCCGTCGCGGATAAGCTGCATGGTGACGCCCAGGACCTCGACATTCTTGTTCCTGCTCTCGTCGTCAAAGAAGAGCATGTCTTCAAAGGCAATGCCGCTGTCGCGGTGTATGCGCTCAAAGTGCGTCGTCTTGTTACCGGGATATATTTGCAAATGGTCAAACAAGTCGATTGCGCGGGATGACGAGCCCGAGGGACTGGGTATCTTGAGCAGCTTGAGCATTTCACGGCCGAGGTCTGGGGCGCAGGTGCGAGAAGCGGCGCCGATAAGGATATTCTTGGCCTTGAGCTGCACACATGGGTTAGTGGGGGGCATGTTACCGGCGGGGTACGTGGTAGTAAGCCGTCATACTGCCTCTAGGATGCCGCCAACGTCGGTGTAGAAGGCGAAGCCCTCGCCGTAGCGGTCCTTGACCTTGAGGCCGCCCTCGGTGGGCTTGAGCGGGGCTGTGACATGGGTGTCTACCCAGAAGGGCCAGAGGGTGTAGTCGAGGTCGAAGACGACCATTTTGGGCAGGGGCAGGCCATCTGTGAAGGTTGCGGGCCACTGGACCTTTTGGGGGGACGCCGTGGTGGTGGTGGTGGTGGTGGTGGCGGTGGTGCGGGGCATGATGGGGTGAGGAGGCGAGGGAAAGGGAGGGAGTGTTGAGTGTTGGGAATGTTGGGGAGGGCGGCCGAAACAAGTGCAAGTGTGAGTGAGAGGGAGAGTAGAGCTAGGCAACAGAGGCCCGCAGCGCGTCTATCGGAGAAAAAACGGCCATGACGTAGACGCGTCGCGAGAGGGAGAGGGAGAATTGCCCGATTGGGCGGGCACGTGAGCGATGCGGCGAAAAACAAAGCACGTGCATGGGCCTACACCGCCAAAAAGCAGCGGGATTGTTATGCATGCACATTGATTGCGCATTTGGTGCCGCACAATGACAGTCATGATGTGTAGGCGGGTGTATGTGTATACGCACGTAGCCAGCGATAATAATAATGAACAGGCGCTCGCTTGCAGCCGCCCGACCAGGCTATCCCAGGTGCTGGCGGCGGCGCGCAGCAACCTTAATCTCTTTGGCAAGCACCGATCCGATGGCGATGGCGATGGCGCACACTCGCTGTGCTGCACATGTACTCTCCCTCTCACTCCGTCCACGTCTCTGTCGCCGCCGCCGCCGCCGCCGCCATTGGCCTCACGCCGCTCGGGATGGTTGCTTTGCCTGTGCTGTCGCCTGTGCATGTGTGTCGAGGCGAGCCGCGCCACGCAGCGGCAAAAGGACTGTGAGGGAGCAAAGGCACTGGGCGAAAGGCCTCTCGCCGCCCGCCTGCTGCACCTTCCGCTTCCAGCCCGCCCGCCACCAGCCAGTCCCAGCCCCGCAAATAACGGGCGGCGGAAGGATTCCCGCCTGACCTGTCGCTGCTCGCCGCCACACGACGAATGTTGCTGCTGCTGCTGCTGCTGCTACTGCTGCTGCTGCTACTGCTACCGCCACCGCCCTGACCGTCACCACGACCCTCGACCGCGCCCGCAACCTCGCCCACTCTCGCCCACTCTCGCCCACTCTCGCCCACCCACATGTCCCCGTAACTCCACGCCCACCCGGACCCCCCCCCAGGCCTCGATGGCGGCGACCAGAGCCCCTCGTCCTCTCCACCACCGTCGTGACCAGCTGCGGCCCGCCCGCCAGTCGCTAGTCACCCCTCTCCAATCTCCGAGAGTCCGCATTCCAATTAAGCCGCGCCCCGTTCGATTCCAGCACAACACCGGGTGACACGACGCCAATCAATCCCCCCCAACCATGGCCGACTTCAACGAGACCAGATCTCCCCTGACCAACGACAACGTCCAGGCCTGGGCTCGCCACCACTTTGCCGCGCCCTTTCGCGCCCTGCCTTGACATTGAGGCTGTCGGTGGCGGCGCGCTTCATGGGCGGGTGGTGCAGGTCGTCGGGAATGGAACGGGTTGTCGAGACGGTCGAGGAGCGCTTGGGGCGCACGACAATGGGATCCTTTTCAAAGGGCGTCGAGGGCTCTGACTTGCGCGAGGGGGGCAGCAGCGGGCGCTCGCCTTCGTTCTGGACCCACAGACATGCGTCGCGAAAATTCCTAGTAAACATGGTGGGATCGGAGCGGGTGCGCGACAGCTCCTTGACGTGGCCGGCGGCGAGGAAGTAGTAGAGAATGAGGGCCGAGACGCGGTGGATGGCCTTGGAGCCGCCCGTGTCGTCGCCGACATCGCAAAAGGGGGCATGGAAGGCGACGGTGCTGGTGCTGTTGACCGACTGCAGCTCGTTGCTGCCGTCGTCGAGCTCGGTAATGCGGTAGAAGCTGACCTCAGCCTCGTCCTCGTGCACGTGGGCAGTAACGCGATCAATGGGCTCGTCATCGTCGCCCGCAGGACCTGGGGCATAGCCGCCGATGACGAGCAGCTGCTTGTGGGTAGAGCGGCCGAGCGAGCGCCAGATGGCCCTGCTGATGGTGAAGCTCTCGTCAAACTCGATCCACTGCAGGCGGGCGGCGCGCGATCAAGCGCGAGCGCGAAGACGACTACCCCAACATGCCGGCTTCCGCAATCCGCCCGAAGAAGCATCCGCGTCGCACCCTAAGCGAGCAGATCGTGGTGCCCTCCAAACTCCAGGAATCGGCATCAATAGCATCAGGAACCATTCTCAGTCCCCGCAGCCCCGCCCCCGAGCGCGTCAATCGCGCCCTGACGGATCGAATCAACCATCTCAAGGATGAAAACGCCGGCCTCAAAGCTTCGGTCAATGGCCTCGAATCGGAGAAGAACGACCTCCAGCAACGCATGGCCAGAGATTCTCATGCCTATCGCGGTCTACAGATGGAATCAGATGCCCTGAAGCGCGACGTACAAGGCATGAAGCGCGACATGAGCGCAATGAAAGAGCGCCTCGAAAGCGTCGAATCATCAGGCGAGAAGATGCGCCTCCAAGTAGATCGACTAATGCTTCTCGAAACAGCCAGCAAAGAGCTACGCAAAGAGCTCAAGGCAGAAATAGATGGTTTAAGAGGAAGAGTAGAACGAAGTGAAAAGGAAGCCGAGCACGCCAAAGAAGAGCTACTTGCTGTCCGGCGAGGATTGACCAAAGAGCTGGGTGAAGCCGTTAAGAAATGGGGCGCATAACACGACTCGGCCTGTTATGTCAGCATGTGGTATTTCCTTTCCTCTGGCCTGGCCCGTTTTCTCCTCTCTCTCTCCGTCTTGTTAGACGCGACTCCCGCGCTACGACTTTGAACCTTGGGATCCCTGGCGCTTTCGCAACGAGTGTACATGGTACGCCACGGCCTCTATTTCTCTGGGCACTGTTTTCTTCCTTCTGTCTTCTGGGTGAATGAAAGAGCGGCATCATCGGCGTATGAGTAGCAGTGCGTGTTAGCGTCGTTTTGTAATTTTTTTTTCTTATTGTTTCTCTTTGGTCATTCTCATCTCACATGGGCTTTTTATTTTCAGTCGTCAATTTCACTTGCATTGATTACAGTAGCAAACGCAGTCTCGGAATGGAGCTTTCGGTATGGCATATGGCGGTGCATTAGTAATTGCATCGACTCCCCGGTGAAAGAAAGAGTCGCACAACAGGGGTGTACAGGAAGCATTAGCCAAACGGTATATCGAATATACTTTTTCAGGCGGAATACCTTAGCCGGAAGCATGATTTGCCATGCCCCTCACCACGATGGATTCTATACGGAATACCCTATCTGGATTACATGATGGCGATGACGCCTCATCCAGCCACGACGCCGCCTCCTCCCAACAACCCCTCTGTATACCCACTCTCAACACTAACACCCAGCAGCAGCCCCACTATACCCCTCACCGTTTATCTGCACACCCCACGCACCATTGCCCCCGCCCTTGTCGCCGCCTTTGCCCCTGCACAGCATCCCTCGCCCACGACCCTCCATGCCAATGCCAATGCCAATGCCAATATCAGCACGCCTACGCCCGTCCTGGGACCCCCGGCATGCGAAGCGCATATTTCGAGCTCGCTAGCCCCCGTCCCAAGTGCGATTGCGCAATTGCAATCTCGCTCCCCGGCGCTATTCCCGCTCCCTGACGTCTATCCCCATTGCCAAATGACCGATGGTGCTGCCGTCTTGGCGACGGGCTCCGGCTGGAATCCGCCGCGCCATATACATGGACATGTAGTGAGCTGTCGGATGTATACGACGACGCGGATGACATGCTCGTCTCGCTCGATATCCCAGGCGAACAGGGCGTCAAGTCGTCTTCCAGATCAATTAGATTGCGCACCTCGCTCGCTGGTCCGGAGCACGAAGTAGAAGTAGTAGAAGAAGAATCCAGCATCTCACGCGTAGCCCCGATACTAGGTGTATATCCCCTTTTCTCCTCATCCTCATGCTCCTTCTTCTCCTTCTCCTTCTCTCTGCCCGCAACTCTGCGCTCCATCCACGTCAATCCCCGCGGCGGCGCCGCGCGAATAGCTTTCTTCTCCCTCCACCATCTGGGTACGCCGCGCGTGAATCCGAGCGCGTGCAACTGCGCTATACCCGGCATCTCGTGCTTGAATTTGCAGCCCGTGGCGAGCCATCTGCACTCGCCCGTTGCAATCCAGTGCGTACAGAAGACTTTTTGGGGTCTGGGCGGCGGTGAGGGCGATGCTGATGCCGATGTCGATGTCGATGGTGGAGAAGAGGTATGTAGAGGTGCAGAAGTATGCTTGCGGGATAGCGAGCATGTCGCTTCATCACTACTATCACTCATCTTACTCACATTCACACACCCCGCGTCGCTGCGTACACGATGATTATGATCTGGCGCCAGATACCTCGGTCTCGCATCCACCGTATCTCGGCTTTTCACTCCCATCTCCATAGCCGTCGCCCCCATATCCCCACTTACACACGCATCCTGAATCGAAACATGCCTTGTCCTACCTTCCCTGACTTCCTTCCAATGCCCAGTCTGTATTGCAAGCCTGCTGAGGGATACGGGTACGCCGTGCAGCTGGAATGGAAGTAGGTCCATGGGGATAAGCGGTATGGCGGTTGAGCCTCGGTGCAGGTAGAAGCGTTGGTGGGGTGGGAGGGGGCATGGTGGTGGTGATGGTGGTGGTGACGGGCAGGGGGTTTGGGATTGGGGTGGCATGGCTCTTTTTTTGGGGGGGGGGTCCTTGTGTGTGTGTGTGTGTGTGATATACGGGTGGAAGATGGTGGCGGTAGAGTAGTGGCGTAACGCTATGGATGAAGCGAAGCGAAAATGCAAATAAAATGGAATGGAATAAGTGGGCAAGTGCAAAATATCGGTCGTCAACGTGGATAAGGCTTGGGTTTTTTTATGCGCGTTATGACCAACAAGTGAGACAAGCATGCAAGACATGCGAGTAGGTATGTAGATTTGGCAAGACAAACAGACAAACAAACAAACAAATAGAGGGTTTGCTGGATATGCATGCATGCAGGCAAGCAAGCGAGTAGATAAGTGTGTAAACAAGGAAGTAAATAAGTAGGTAAGTAGGTAGGTAAATAAGTGTGGAAACAAGTAGGTAAATAAGTAAAACTAATGTTTCTTTGCAATGCAACGCAATACACAAACTCTGCGTAAACAAGCAGGACAGGACAAGCAAGGCAAGTAAGTTAGAAATCAAAACTTTACTATTTAATACTTTGCTTTGGGCTGGCTTGGAGTACGGTTTTTCCGTCTGTCTGATTGCTTGCTTGCTTGCTTGATAACTCGTGTGTCTTGACTCACGATGATAAGTGCTGGAGTTGTGACGGGGAGTGGAGTTGCTTGTGCTGAGGTGTGTGTGTGTGTGTGTGTGTGTGTGTGTGTGTGTAGGGGGCTTGCTAGAGAACTCACTGTACATGTAGCCATGTAGACATGGAGAGATTATACAAGCCATGAAAGCTGTCATGGGTATATAGAGGCGTGTTTGGCAAATCCAAGGCCGTCTTTTTGGCACCCTTTTTTTTGATAGAATGGGTCTTTGAGAGGGTGAGGTTGGGGTTTTTGTGGGGAGGTGGGGGACTGCTTTCCTTTTTACTTTTTCAAATCACTTGACTAGTAGATGTTTCTCGTCCCCGACTTACTTATGATGGGGCTGGGCTGCTGGAAGTATGTAGGTGTAGGGCTACTAGGCATCTTAATAATGATAGGATAAAAGGGGATACCAAGGAAGGTGTTGGAAAGGCGAGAACGCGGCTGGGCAGTAAATATGTGTGGCATTCAGTGGCTTGTTTTTGGATGCAAGTGGGAGATGCATGTATGTGTAGTGGAGTCAAGAACTGATGGCGGATGAAGGATGATAGAGGATGAGGACGGCTAACTAAGTGGAGAAGTGGAATAACCACTACCATCTCCATCTCCGCCACCACCATCACTACTACTACTTATACATAACCTTACCTCATTATCTTTCCTCTCCCCCCACATCACGTACCTATCTGTGTCCCTAGCGCCGTATCCCCAAGAAGCTAGGTATAACACCTAGAATACACCTTGAGTTAGGGGGGAAATTTTTTTTCTATCGTTCGTCAGCGGTATACTCCGAGAAAAGGCGCCCCTAACAACGAGTCTAGCAACGAGTCTAACCACCGCACCGGTGCACGCTATAACTCTCTAGTCCCCCCTGGCCCTAAAGGGAAAAAACAAAAATACACACGTTATCTATGCCCCCCTCCCCCAATCCCGTCTGTCTATCAAGCTAAGAAATTCAGGCTTACCGTTTGAGGAAAGAGATTGAGAGACATTTTTATTCCCACTGACTTTTTTTTGTTGCCTCGCCCACACCGTAGATGGGGGAGGGAGGTTGCAACACCACACCACACCACCCCATACCATACCCAACGCTCGTGCATACAGTACTCTACACAATGTCCAATCACCAGTCCATTCCACAGCCAAGAACACGCGAGAAAAAAGATATCCACAAACAAAGTTTCCACACTCCCCGCAAGTGAAACAATCAGGCGTCGGCACTTGCGCGTTGTGCTAGTATCGAAACATGTCAAGATCTGCCCTCCCCCCCCCGGCCCCCCTTACCCACTTACCTCGCTGCGGTATCAAGCTTTGGTGTTCCCAAAAGAGTTTTCCGCTACTTACTTACTTCGACCCGCTACTTACTTTGACCGCGCGGCTGGGCGCAACACTGGCACTGGAGGCCACGCGCTAGAGGGGATCCGCTGGTGCTGGCGCTGGGCTTGTTCGGAATGGGCATGGGATGGGCGCGCTTGGCGGTTCGTATGTCATGGGTTTGTGGGTGTGGGTGTGTGGATTAGGGGAGAGAGGTGCTAGTGGGTGCAAATGTAGGACACCAACCATGACCATCACCACCACACCCCCCTCCACTGGTCTTGGTTGTTTGCTAAGGCACCCGCGTGTGCGTGTGCCTGGCGCCAATTGCGAGCCTAACTGTAGGTTTTATGGAAGAAGAAAAAAAAGGTTCTGAGATGGGTGGGTGGTATTGGTGGTGGTGGTGACCATAGAGGTTCTTTTTTGGTCAAGGAAACGAACAAGCTTCGAGTCTTGCCATTTCTCAATGTTACTAAGTCGGCCTTTTTTTGGTGTTGGCTTTGTTTTCCCTTTTTCTTCTTCTCCTTCTTCTTCTTCTTCTTTTCCCATCCTCTTCCTCCTCACCATCTCCCTTCTTCTCCACAAAAATTCCTCCCCGCACCAGTGGAACAACTGTCTGTATCTCGGAACACAAAACGCTGGACAACAGGAACATCGGCCCACCCCCGTCTGTGGAATCCGCTATGAGAACCTTGTAATCCAGGGTCGAATTTCCGAATGCCAATCTAGAAGCTAGCTTTGCTTGCCCACTATGAGCAGAGACAATCGCAGTCCAGAGGTGCTTGCTGTCGCGATCCTGTTCTTCGTCTTGACGTGGGTTGCGGTTTGCGTTCGCTTCTATGTGCGCGCTGGATTGACTAGGACTTGGGGATATGATGATTCGTACATGGTTGCCGCACTGGTAAGACATGCTGATAGCGGCTTTGTGCTCGTATCAACTAACAACCGTAGTGCACATTCACCGTGTACCTGGTGTGTCAGATTGTCGCGGCGGTGCATGGGGCGGGCCGGCATCAAGCGTATTTGAGCCACAGCGATACGAGGACGGCTCTGCTGGTTAGTACACGGCGTTTCATGCTTAGCCCAGTCACTGACGGACTACAGTTTCTGTACCTGTGTGAACTCGGCTACGCCGTGACGAATTGCCTTGTCAAGTTTGCTATTGGGTCGTTGTATCGTCGCGTCGCTGTTAAGCGGTGGCACATCTGGTCCATCTGGGTACTCATGGTAACTACGTTTGTGTGCAGCCTGGTGCACTCGTTCCAAGTTATGTTGCAGTGTGCTCCCAGTAGGTGTCTTCTGAATATGTCTTGAGACCCGTGCTAATCAGATGCAGTATCTGTGTTCTGGAATCAACAGCCTGTTTCACCCAAGTGCATGGATAAAGGTCTGACTCTGGGCGTTAGGTATACGCTTGCTTCTGCCAATGCCATGACGGATTGGGCGTTGGGATTACTCGCTGTGTGCATGCTGTGGCATGTAGAAATGGAAAGGAGAACGAGGATCTTCGTAGCAGGCATCCTCGCATTCGCAACAATGTATGCTGTTCCATTGGAACCTACGATAAAATACTAACGTTAACAGTGGGTGTGCGAGCACCATTATGCGAATGTGCTACATGCATACAATCGTGAACGGTAATGACTTTCTTTGTAAGTCTTCATTCCCATATCAAAAAAATTCGTAGTTTATAGCTGACGCGTTCCAGACGCCACCACCGACATCGGGATCTGGAGCACAGTCGAGCCCGGTATAGGCATAATCGCAGGCAGCATCGCAACCTCGCAGCCGCTCATCCGCAGACTAATATGTTGCCGTGAATCCGTACAGGCGCTTCGGCAAGACAGTCTTCCCCAGTACCATCTCACCAAGGCCACACACAGCCCCAGCAACAGCCACAGCTACCAGCCCAGTCTGGCTCTCTCAGATCTGGGTCCTATGGAATTGAACTTCATCACGTCACATATCCCAGGGCTGGGATCTGTAGATGCCGAGAGCAAGTTGGAGTCTTCGCGAGATGTAGCTGAAGATATGGAGTTGCCGTGTACAAAGCATGAGCCGATGATGCAGCAGGGACCGCCCAAGCTGGAGCTACGCAAGAGCTTCCGCAATAGCTTCAACGGAGGCAGTCTGGCTAGTAGTTTTGCCAAGGTCTGTATTCCACAATGAGTCCCATGTTATGTTTATACAAGTTTTTATTTTTTTTCTCCCTCCCTCCCTCATTCCACTCCTGAATTAATACAAGAAGACGCAGCATTTCCAGGGATCTTTATTTTTTTTTCGTCTTCACGTGCCTGGCGTACATTAGGCTTTTAGTCGCCATTTCCATCATCTTTCACAGAACTGTTTGCTTGCTGTAATCGTTTCCGACACACCTTGTCCGATAACAACAGTGCTTACTTGGTAGCCAGAGCGCAACTGCTCTGGTGAACAGAAACAAACACATACTAAGTAGTCTAAATCCGAGACCTTATCACTTTCACGCACCACAGACGGGTGTGTGTGTGCTCACCGAAACCATGCATATGCCTCCGCCCCCGCCCCCATCATCTAGCGCTTTGTCCCTCTCTTCAAGCACTCAAAGACCGCAGTGAATAACTACAATTCCCACACCAAACAGCCTAGTACCACTCCAGAAACACAGTATTTCTCGCACCAATACCCTCACTCTCCTCCTCGCAGCAGCAGCACAAGACACCATTCCCATTGCTATAATGCAGCCCTCTCTAGCCCTATAAGCCACAATCCAATCTGATTCCAGCCGCTCTGGAAAACCGGCCTCAATCACCCTCCAAAACGGCATTCTAGCCACAAGCCTACTCGCCAAGACAGTTTCGGCTAGACGATATCCAGCTTCTCATCTCGACGCACCCTCGTCCAGCGTCATGCAAGTTTCTTTGTCCCAGGATCAAAAGTACAAGTGCCATGCTGTGCTCGCTATATTATAGTCGTTGAGTGCGCTGCGCAGGACTAAGTATAATGTGGTTAGTCGCAAGACGAGCGTTGGCAGCGTTGCTCAGGGCTAGACGGGAAATCCATGTGTGTGTGGGTAGATACTGCTGTACAAGTTTCGACTGGAGAAGTGGAGGCGCGAACTGTGGTTCCATGTGGTTGCGGTGGTGGAGCGGCGGGTTGATGTGTATGGGGTTGTGTTGTCGGTGGAGTTGGAGTTGTAGGATCAAGTGGAGAGGGGAAAAAGCGAGGAGTGAGTGTATATACCTGCAGAAGCAAAGTCAGAAGCCAGAAAAAAGAAAATATACAAGTACAAAGTGTAACAAAGAAAAATGCTAAGTCCTAATGACGCCTCATGCCATTTGCTGGTATGTAGTGAGTTTCGAAACAAGCATCCTCTCCCACTTTTTTCTTCTTCTCTTCTTATTTCCCCCATATCCCATCACCACACAACCGCCCTACTCCTCCATCTCGTCCTCCATCGCCTTGGCCTTCTCCTCACTCCTCGCCTCCTCCCTCAACCTCGCCTCCTCCCTCACCCTCGCCTCCTCCATCGCCCTCGCCTCTCTAATCCCGAACACCTCCACACACCCCCTCACAGCGCTCTCCCAGGTGATTATCATATCCGCGTCATCGACAATCCAATCGATGCCCATGTTCTGCAGATAGCCCACGGCGAAGCTGCGAAAGAACCACCAGCTGGGCAGGAAATTCAGACGCGCCAGCGCCGCGAGCTTGAGCGGCGAGAACATGGAGCCGTACTGGCATGCGCGGTCCAGCAGCGCGCCGTGCTGGAACGCCGTGTTCCACATGGCGTAGGCGATGTTATCAATATGCGTCGATGTGATGGGGTTGGTGGTTGGGTCGATTGGGAGCAGCAGTGCGTCTTTTTGCAGCACGTGCCGTATCAGTTGGGCGACGAGCTGGGAGATATCGGGGTTGGTGCTGGGGGCCGGTGTGTTTTGTCTGGCCGAGGAGGAGGAGGAGCCCGGGGCTGGGGATGTAGAGGGCGTGGTGGTGTTTTGGCGTGGGGACGTGTTGGCGGGCTGTTCCGTGTGGTGCTATTAGTTAGTTAGCATGCATCTCTCTTTTATACTTGCGAGGTCCCACGAGAACAGGAAGTGTGGGTATTCGCCAGATAGCTGTGTTTCTGTCTACATACCTTGTTGAACATAGGATCCATGCTGGCTACGTGCTGCTTTTAGCGAAGATCTATTTTGGAATAACGATTGGGCGCGTCTTCTTGCTGCTTTGGTGTGGATTTTCCGTTGTAGAGCCCTGCTTTCAGATACGTCAGTGTCAATTCCCCACTTGCATGGCTTGCTCTTACCTCTTCTTCGATCCTTCCCTTGTTGGCCGCGCTAGTTGCGTCTTTAATGATGGCTTTTTGTTAGTTTGGCAAATGCAAATGTTACGTTCTTGCTAGGTCTTCTGGGTGGCTGGCGAAGTGGCAGTTTCTATTGTTGAGTTCTCTAGGTTTGAGACGGTGTCACGGGTTCCAAGTAACATTGATACTCTACTATCACAGCTCACTGTCACGTTCACTTTTAACATGCCATGTCCTGTGTTTTACTGTCTTAGCCAAGTCTCGTTTGTCTATTATTAATCTCGGTGAGGTAGAGCTACTTTGTGATTGTGACTGTGATTGCGTATGTGCAAGCCAATATAAGCAACAGTGAGAGCAATACTGACCACCAAATATGAGGTGAACTAAGATTCAACTTACTAGTGCCGCGTGACCAGCTGAATTCAAGATCTGAATTTTACGTGAAGTAGAGTTGACATGTAGATGGTTCCAAAAAGTGTACTTCATTTTTGCAATCAGCCGAAAATAACGACAGGATTAAAACCATAATATGAGGGCTAGGACAAAGATGAAAGGCTCGTTCAAGAGAACAATCCGATGTGAATCATACACGTTCTTTACTTTACCACGCAGCTTGTATTCGGAAATTCCACAACCCAAGCTGACGGATTGATTCTCAGCAAATGACTCAGCCCAAACAACACCCTGCATACCGTACCTAGGGTATCAACCAGAACGCCTAAGCTCAGTTGAACCGCCTCGTTCGAGTGCAATCTAATCAAGGTAGGACCAAGAGCGCTCTCTATTACCACCTAACAGTGCCACCAAGTCCAGTCTGACTTTGCATAAGGTACTAGGAACGTCCACGTGCGGGGGCCTTCCGCTTCCCTTTCGACTTCTGCTTGGGAGGCGGTGTCGCTTCTTCCTCAGAGTCCCCGATATCCTCAGACTCCATGTCCTCATCTTCACTCTCTTGCTTGGCCTTCTTTTTTGCGCTGCCATTCCGTTTCTGCTTCTTGCGGTTGGCTTCAAATGCTTCTTCAGACGGCTCTTCCATGGGCGTGGATCGCTTGGAGCCTCGTGATTTGGGCGCATACTTGGCTTCCAGGGCATCGAAAAAGTTGCCTGCTCGTGCCTTTTGCCGTTGTTGGATCAGAGCTGCCAGACCTGCCATATCATCTCCCCCCTTCTTCTTGGCCTTGGGCTTTGCTTTGGCCTTGGCTTTCCCCTTGACGGGCTCGGCTTCTTCCTGTTCCTGAGCTTGCTCCTTGTCAAAGGCTTCGCGCCTCTTCTTCTCCGCGTCTTTGGCTTTCTGGCGCGTCTCGTCTGTCTCTTTTTTGTATGCAGGATATGACTCGATCGTGCCCTTGGCAATCTCTTCGTCAAGAATCTGTCTGAATCGCTCGTCGTCCACCAGGATATCAGACAGCATAACCAGGTCGTACATCTTGTTCAGATTGCCCTTGACCTTTTTGTACGCCTTGACCAGATCGTTCCGCTCCTCTTCGCTGCCCTTGTATTCGTCGGCAATCTTGTTTATAGCCTCCTCGTTGACGACATTCTCAAACTGCTCGCGATAGAACTTTAGCCAGTCAAAGTCGTCATCATCTTCGATGGTCTCTGCTGTACTGCCTGTAAGGTCATAGCGTCTACGTCTGCGATCGTCGGAAAGCACGGCGTATGCGAATGCAAGCTCTTGGAAAGCCTTATTGGCGGCTTCTTTTTCTTCGGGCGCAGCCTTATCTAGAGATTGTTAGTAATCAGCAAGGTACAGTTCCTGAGAATGCGCACCTGGATGGCACTTGAGCGCCAGCTTGCGATATGCCTTTTTCACATCGTCTGCAGTTGCCTCTGTCTCGAGTCCCAGAACCTCGTACGGGTCAATGGCAGGAGGGCCATCCTCGCCAATATCCTGCTCCTCGCCTTCACTTTCGTGATCATTCATAATGTCATCTTCTACAGGATCTTGAGGCGCTGCGCCGTTGCGTTGTTTCCTAGCCATGTTGTTATGCGTAATGTTGATGTTCGAAGTGAGCAACGCCGAGCCGCTGGTGATGGAAGACGCGACGCGACCCTGAGCCGGACTTAACGGAGCTAAGCAGCTGGACCCACCCTCGCCATCACCGCCTGGCCAGAACACGAATTACATCACCTTCACTTTCTTCACCCAGCAGACATGTCCCACGAAGTCGATACAGGCCTTGTAAGATACTGGGATGGTCCATCACCTCCAATGGCGGGACCAGATCCAAACGACCATCTACAGTACATGCGTCTTGCCCTTGATCAGGCCCACGAATCACCACCAAAGCCGTCGAATTTCCGAGTGGGCGCCCTGCTGGTCGATGCAGACACCGGCACCATCTTATCAAGAGGCTACACGTTGGAGTGCGAAGGCAATACGCACGCAGAGCAATGCTGTCTTTTGAAGTTTGCCCAGGAGCACAGTTTGCCTGAAGAACGAATCGGAGAAGCCCTGCCGCCAAACACCGTCATATACACTACCATGGAGCCCTGCAACCTGCGACTGAGTGGTAACTTGCCATGTGCAGACCGTATTATTAGAACAAAGGGTGCCAACGGGGAGCCGAAGATCAAAAAGGTCTACCTGGGCGTCAAGGAGCCAGAAAAGTTTGTTGGAGAGAATGAGGGGAGGAAGAAGCTGGAGGAAAATGGCATCGAGTGCATTCATGTACCTGGGTTGGAGGAGAATATCCTGCAAGTTGCTACTGCTGGCCATGAGAAGTAAACATGTATATTATGTATCAGTTTGAGTGGCTGTGCTTTGAAAGCAGCGAATCTCATCATGGCTTGCTCGAAACATAACGAGTTGACGGCAGCAAATACTACAAATCGAAGCATCAATTTCGATCAGCGATTAAAAAATAATAAATGAATACAGCCTAGGTTGAATTCATTGCAGAGCGGAATTGGGAGATAGTAAGGCGGCGGTCGGGAGCGGCGCGCTAGAAAGCCGTGGCCGAGATAGTCTGGCTGAATCTCACTTTAGCTCAACGATGGCGTCATGACTTATTCGGCATTGCATGCAGCCCACCACGAGGCCCGATTGACATGCGTGATGCAACCAAACATCGTGCAGACGGCAGCATCCCTTTTTGCTCAATCCCATAATGACGCATGGCCAAATTCCATGTGTGGGTAGAGCCAAAAAAAGGCGTGTAACCCCCAGCCATATATTACCCATCTCTCGACCCCGGCAATCTCTCTTGTTCTCTCACAATGCTAAACTACATCCGCCCAGCTGCTACCCAGTCCTGCAACCAAACACTCCGAACCTTGACGAAACCAGCTTGTGCCCAGATCCCCCGATTTAGCAGAGCAGCCATGTCGACTTCCACTGCAGACGTCAACATTGAGACCAAGGATATCCAGACGGCTCCAGGCGTCTCTCTCGACGCTTCAAAACAGACCATTGTCGGCTCAGTGCTGGACCTTTTCGCCGGCCGCCCTTCTTTGAAGAAACTTGCGCTGTGGCGCGACGACGCTACTTTTACGGACCCCCTCACTATTGCTACCGGCCGCAGCAAGTACGCGGCGCAATGGTACGGACTCAAGGCGGCCTTCTCCGAGATTGAGCGTCAGCACTACGAGGTCAAGGATGCGGGCAACCCCATCTTGATGGACTTGAAGACGCGGTACGTGGTCAAGGGGCTTGGCAAGGAGCAGGTGATCCAGAGCGAGGTGGCCATTCACTTGGACAGCGAGGGAAAGATTGAAAAGGTGGAAGACAAATGGAATGGAAAGCTGCCCGAGAACCCCATTGTGAATGTGAGTATGACAGCTGGTATACGAAATGACTCGCTGACCCTGCTACAGGCCTTCCGACACTTGAACGCGGTTTCGGTGCCTCTGATGATCAAGGTGCCCAAGAACGACGAAGAGGATGCGCAGATGGGCAACCAATAATTGAATTTGCGGCGAGCCCAGCCAGGAGTCTAGTATGTTCTGTCGTGTAATGAAGAAGACGTACAAGTAACCCGTAATTCGTGAAATCGTAACAACGTTTACAAAAAAAAAATAATAGCGTTTACCACCAGGGCCTTTTCTTTACAAAACCCCATGGAACATTCTCCCCAGCGCAAAATGAAGAATAAAGGCAACGAGTCCAGCACCGAGGCCTAGGACCTTGAGGCTCGGTGCGCCCGCAACGATTAGAATGGTGCCGCATGATCCCTCTCCAGCTCTTGGCAGACCGGGCCCGTTCATGGTGATTGTGGCGCAGAAGCCGCCTTGCACAGGGTTTGGATGTTGGTACACGGTGGTCTGTGGGGGCTGAGCGTAGACAGTCTGTTGCTGGGGGTATACGGTCACGGTAGTGATCTGGGCGACATTGACGGTTCCTCCACACGTGTTTCCGTTTGGGCAGCAGCCGATCAGTCCGTTTGAGTTTGCGGGCACTACGCATTGGTAATTTGCAGGACAGCACCTGGTTTTCCCCACCCTCTCGATCAGCATGGGAACCACTTTTTCGCAATGTTGCTGGGATGATGATGATGGATACTCACCAGCTGGGATGGTCGACACTGCTACAGCTCACGGATGCCGACGACGGACACCAGTTGTGGTCTTGGGCAACCACCTGCTGGCCGTCGGGATTCACAATGTACACGGCGCCCGAGAAGGGCGCATTATTCGTAAGCTGCTGGGGCACAGCCTCGGGCTTTGCGAGGGGCTCGGCAGCACACCAGGTCAGCGACGACACGAGCAGGTGCCAGGGCGCAAGGAATCGCATTGTTGCTAGGAATGGTGGGTATGTATTGTATGGCGAAGAGCTGGCGGGCGAGGGATGCTGAGCTAGCGGCGACACTGCAACAAAGGCCCCAAACAAGAATATGCTGTCTGCTGGCTAGTAGCGGGGGGTTAGTATGGCGACTCGGAAGCCTGAGGGCTGGGAGGAGAGAGAAGGGTGAAAAAGCAGCGCTGGGCGGGCGCGCTCACGGCCGTCGCCCTGCTTTATGAGCTCCGGTGTGCCTTGAAAGCTCTATCACAGACAGCTACCGGGATAGCTCCAAGCATGCTGCATATGGGGCTAGCTCTTGATGGCTGGGCAGCATTATGCCCGGCCGTGGTGGGGACGCGCATCATCGGTAGGCTTGACTGGAGGGGGTCTAGCCGGCAGCACGGTGGACTGATTTGGCTGCTTTTTGGTCTTTTTCGCGGCGGGGCCCATGGGCAAAACAGCGGTGTTGAAGGTCGGGAACGGGGCTGTCGTGGCTGTGTGCATCTCCCTGGGCCCGACTTGTCGAGCACTTTGGCTTCGCTGGCCAGCACAGGGCAGCCACTGACGGCGGCAAGTATTGAATGCCCGAAACCATCAACGGGCCTTGCTTACTCCCTGCCACCGTCGGCCACCCTGCCACCACCACCACCACCGTCGGTCACGCCTCGGGCTTGGACTCGGCACTGGCGGATGGGCCTGGCGTAGTGACGCATGCGTGCATCGAGCACAATGTATCTGTGGCGCGCGCCCATCATCCGGTATACGCGCCACCGATAAGGTTAGCGCTAGCGGCGGTGCAGGGCGCAGCCTCACGTGACACCGTAAGCCGGCGTGTGTGCCCGCGTCGCGTCGTCTCGCCGCCACCCACCTGCGCATCGTCACCGCTCCGCAACACGCTATGACATGTCAACGCGCCCGTATCGACTCTACCCCGCGTACTGCTTCCGCGCATCGCCAACATTCAACACATGGGTGAAGCTCACGGCTGCCGGCGTGCAGGCTCTCCGCTCCGAGAAGGACTTTGAAGGTGACGGTGACCATCTGTAGCTCCCAGCTGTCGCTGAGACATGCCGACAGGACAGCGCATCTACTTCCATCTCAACCACCCCATCCGCTACGTTCGCCTGGTCGGCGCCGTGGTAGCCATCGACGACATCAACCTGCGGTACACGGTCCTGACGCTCGATGACGGCAGCGGGGCGACCATCGAGCTGAAGATTGTGCGAACCATTCCCGCCGACAAGAATCCTGTTGATACCTCGTCCAAAACCGAAGTCGACAATGTCGACATCATCAGCCGGCTTGGCGTCTTCGAGGTGACGGTCGACAGCCAGCCGCTCGACATTGGGTCCGTCATCAAGGCCAAAGCCACGATATCCGAGTTCAGAGGCGTAAAACAGCTGGAAATGAAGCGCGTCTCGATTGTTACGACAACGGATGAAGAAGCACGCGCCTGGGCTGAGACGGCTGCGTTCAAGCAGAAAGTGCTCTCGAAACCATGGCATATTTCTTCGAGCGAGCACAGGAAGATCAAGCACAGCATCAAGGCGGAGAAGAAGCAGCTGCGCGAGTACGAGCGACGCAAGGCTGAATACGAAGTCAAGAAAGAGGAGCATCGACTGGCGAGGGAGACATACAATCAAGAAAGAGAAAAGAAACTCGAGGCTAGACGCCGCAAAGAGGAGGTCATTATGAATGCTGGTGCTTTGATGTGAGGGTGGATTTTAAAATACGCGAGATGAGGCGTCAGTGCGATATTGGCATAATACTTCCACCAGAGTCCAAGCACTCACCACCCACCGTGTATGCTAGGAGTATGATCCTCTGCGATTCCAGCCAACCGATAGACGACCGCCGTTTCACCGACCAGTCTCGCGACCTTCATCAATCGCAGATGAGAGCTGAAACCATTTAATCATAGTGGCTCTCCTCTGTTCGAGAGTTCTCTCATCCCTATCATCATAAGCTTGTCGAGCTGTGACCCTTTCGACATGTCCGACTGCTGCAGTCTGGACCCATCAAGACAACGGTCGAACTTGCTAATCTAATGTCCCGATGTCGTCGATTCGCCGATTCAAAGCTCGCCACCCCTCGACAGCGACACATTCGGTATCTCCGTATTCAGCGCCCCCTTGACCAGCTTGAACCCGCCCGGCTGCAGATACTGGAACACCTGTCTCGGATCATACTTTGTCGAGACCTGTATCAGTCTCTCTTTATTCTTCTTCCCATAGCTTCCAATCGGGTCCTGGAACTCGGACGCATAGTTCAAATACACAAAGTCGTTGTCGAGATTTCTTTTCTTGGCTTCAACTTTGATCAACTTGATTGTGTTGGCAATCACCGTGTGAAACTTTGGTTCGTCTTCGGCTTTTGTCCATGCAGCGTTGAAGTTCAAGACGAAATATGGACCATTCGCGGGATCGAGACCGAGGGCATTTCCGCCCCTTTTTTGCATTGCATCGAGTGCGCTTTCGGTAATGGGCTGGATGGCCATGATGAGAAGGATTTTTTCCACGTCGGCGATGGCGGCTTCTTGGGTATAAAAGGTGTCGACGATGAACTGGAGAAACGGTCTATCCATTTTCAAGCTGATGCCCCACCACGTTTCGTAGCCGCCCGATGCAGGCGCTCCTTGGTTGAGCAGATTCGCCATTCCAGACATGCGACCAAGACCCGTGGTGTCGTGGATCGCGGTTATGTTGTTCCAGCTGGCAAAGACCGGGGCGTCGGCAACTGGTTTCGAGTAGTGTAGGTTTGCAAATACCGTTTTCCCGACACCTGGGGCGCTCGCGAATGTCTGCTCATTAATATCGTACGTCTGCGCAGTCGTGGGTGTATAGACTTACAATGATTTCCGCAGCATCTTGATCTTCAACTGACCCCGCCACGGTAAACTCGGCAATGGCATCTAGCACAGCGGGAAAAGCGTCTTCCAAGTAGACCCTCATGCCTCCCCACATATCGCCCAACGGGAACGCATCGAGCGTGAACTTTGTCACGACGCCAAAGTTGTTGCCTCCGCCTCTCAACGCCCAATACAAATCAGGATACGATGAGTCGCTCACATTGACAACAACGCCCGACGCAGTAACCAGCTCGAACGCCGCCACATTATCGCAAGCCCAGCCACGCTTGCTCGCGAAATGCGAAATGCCACCTCCAAGCACAAGTCCCGATATTCCTACAGGCGCCATCTTCACCGCGCAATCAGCTGCAAAGATACCAAGTCCGAAGATGGATGGCGAAGACTTACCCTTCCCCCCGCAACGCTCAGCCCATGCTTCTCAACCGCCATATACACATCTACCCAGCGCAACCCCGGCCCCACCTCCACCGTCTTCCTATCGCCCGAAACAACAACTTGTTGAAAATGCTCCAGCGAAACCGTAATCCCGCCGTCGATGCTCGACGCGCCCGCCAAAGCGGCGTGGCCTCCGCTCTTGACTGCAAACGGACATTGGTATAAGCGCGAAAGGAGAACAAGTGTAGATACGTCTCCTGTGCGCTTGGGCTTGAATACGCAGAGGGGTTGAAGTGCGCCTTGCTGTGCGGCCCAGTATGCTGCTGTGAATTCTGCGTATGCGGATGTGTTTCTAGATAGGATCTGGTTGTCGTTGTTGTTGTTGTTGAAAAGTAGTGTCAGGGCTTTACACTGAGGCTCGTTAGTGACTACTCGTCATGTTTCCCCCTCTTTTTCTGTCTCTCTCTTTTTTTTCTTCTTCTCTGGCTGCACAAGGCTGAGCTAAAGTACTTACCGCATACTCGCACCGCGCTCCCTCCTCGCGCACGATAAACCCAGCCTCTGGCTCTGGCAGCCGCGAGATATCGACGCCGAGCTTCTCAAGCGCTGCCGAGACGTTGAAATCGTGGGCTTCAAAGGTGGATGTTGTCGTTGTCGTTGTCGTTGCGCTTGCGCCTGCGCCTGCGAGCTGGAGTGCTGCTGCTGCTGCTGCTGCGTACGCGGGGAGACGATGCAATTTCATACTTGCAATTCGGGGGGGGGGGGGGGGGGGGA